GTTGCTCTAATTCATAATGTAGCGTCTGAGCAATGTTTATGTTTACACGTTTGTTATTACTGTTATTACCATGGCAATGAACATGCTGGCGTGACGTTGCCACTCACCAACCCCGCGGCGGCCTTGTGCTAGAGGAGGCTGTTTAAAAAAATATATCGCAAGTTTAACCATCGAACAAGCAATACAAAGATAACGCACATTCTACATTTTACTGTGTATTCACTTTACCATTTGTGCAGGCCAACTCGTCACACAGCTGGCCTCTAGAGCTAGCCGAGCTGGCAGTAGGCCTGGTGGCCAACCCGCTGGCCAACGTCTACAAAGTACACCACCTCCTAGAGGCTGTCACTGTCAGAGTGCGGCTGGAGGACCCGGCGCTGCTGCGGAGAGTCACTACACTCACTGAGGAGGTGGTGGACGGCATCGTCACTACCGGGGAGACAGGTCAGATTATCATTTCATTATTTTTTTCTAACATCCAAACTGCCTGTCATCGCGGACAAATCATCTGTGCAGTAAACTAAAGTCAGGGGAATAGGTCGAAGAGGGCAAAACCTAGAAGAGCCCTAAAGACTGTTCATTCCCTGAATGAGAAAGACAAAGAGGTCTGGAGGCGAGCTAGTGGTGTCTGCAATATCTGGCTTATCAGCACAGACGTAACCACTGAGTTACCTTGTGATGAGACGATAGTGTGTTCGAATACATTTTTGAGTTGCTAGATACATGCAATGTGAAATGTAAATGTAAGTCATTTGCAATGTGTTAAGGCTATGTGAATTAATTTGCAGTTGATCTGTTGAATGCTAGTTCAGAAACTAACATAATAAAAAAGGACATTTTCCCTCGTACAGTAGTGCATTAGTATTTATTCATTTGTATTTCTCCTTATACCGGTAGTTCAGTGTAGTTTCATGGATCAATAAGAAATATATTTAAAACAAATTAGAATATAACGTAGAAATAATGTAAGAATATAAATTTATAACAAAACGTAAACGTGTTTACGCCACACTATACTATTTTGACGAACTTCCCACGCAAGGATTTAGTCCAGAAAACAGCTGTTTGCCACCAGCTTAATCAAATGGGGTTTCATTGCGTACTACTGTACTGTAATGAGTTTTACCGGGCACCAATCAGCTGATTATACAGTACTGTATTTGGGTAACAATGAGTCGTAATAAACAAAAACACAAACTCTCTTAAAGGTTATTACTAGTGATTTTTAGTCCTTTAGTTGGTGGTAATATGTAAGGATTTGTACAGATTTAGTAGTATGGCGTAAGCTATCGTACGTCAACTCGTCCAAAATGTGTTAACCGAACTCGTCCGGTAAACACTTATTTTCAGGACTAGTCCTCAAAATAATTCCTATTTTCCTCAAACTAATATACTATCTAAAACGCAATGTAATGTTACAAACACAGAACATATATCAAATAATTTAAACAATCCATTTTTCCTAATAAAATAAAGAATGCCTACTAGTGCATTGCTTTTGTAAAATAGTTGCCTCTGTATGCTAAAAAGATATATTATCCTATTCTTAAGCCTAAAATAGATATTGGAATATACATGTTTTTAGAGATAGGATCATTTCATAATTAATACCCATTTTGAAGTTATGCCTTCTATTTAAGCTCAAACTTACATAGTTTGTACCACGAATACTAGTTAAGACCCGTTATGGATCATAAACATAAACAAATGACGTTTTTGGCCCAAAAGTAAACAAAACCATATGTTAATTAATGCTATTAGTATAGGGGTTTTGTCTACTTTCGGGCCAAAAACGTCATTTGTTTATGTTTATGATCCATGTGGTTTGTACACTTTCGATTGTTGCGAATTTAAACAGGTGATAAAACAATTGACCATATACCCAACCATATACCCAAGCAATAACAAATGCTTGTTTTTTATGTCGGCAAAATCCTAAAAGGAAGAAGTAAACAATACTTTTGCATTGTAAATTTTTTTTGCGTAGGAAACAATGTAATGATGAATTTTAGCCCGTGAAAACTTATAACGAAAACGGTCGATTTCACAGTAGTGTAACAAAGTAGTCTACTTATAGTATCTAGAGTCAATGGTTTCATCAATGGCTATACACAATGAGCTGTTTGGTGAAAGGAACCCGCTAACTATCAGTGAGACACTCGGGTCATTGGAATCAGCTGTTTATGACTTTTATGAAATTACAATGCTCCAGGTAAAGCAACTTTCTCTAAAAAATGTGGAGAATCCGTTCTCACGACGCGGCTTAACCTTTGACCCATCTGATGTTTTATCGTAGCTCTAGGATAACCTTGCCCTTCTACTGTCGGTGGTAAAAATAGCTTGAAAACTCAACCCATTAATCTTTTACTGTGTCGTAAACTCGATGGGAGTAGCCTACGTGCTAAAAGCCTACAATAGAAAGCTGAAGCGTAAGCGATTAAACACATTACTGTGTTTCTTATATGTAATTTTGGAGCCAGCCAAAAAGTAATGGTTTTATATTTCAATATGCTTTAGTCACAGTAGATTAAGTAATCAAACATCAAAGTAATGTTAAAGTTGTTTTCTTTTTAGTGTACAGTACTACTACATTAATTATAGTAATTCAGTAAAATCATTGACAAAACTGATATAATTAAGCTACTGCTAAATGCTAAATGATTATTCAAGATGCTACCTACATAAAGTCGACGACGTATAGACAACATAAAATAACAGCTCCTCAAGTGTTGTTTTATCAAAAGCTTTCATATCTTTGTAACTATCAATCACCTGTAACTTATGATTGGTATGCATTGTAAGTTTATATGTTCTAGGATTGGCTCAATTGAATTTAAAGTACGAGGTTGCCACAAAAACCCCTATCAAGGTAAACATCAAAGTAATATTTTTTTTCTTTTAAAACGACTAAATTTATGTTTGATGAAAATACCCAATAAAGAAATTTAAACTTTGTTTCCACACTTAAGAAACGTGTGAGCCTATATAAACATTTTGCATTATTTATACTATTTTAGTGAATTGAAATTGAGACAGCTAATATTCGGCGTTGTTTCCGATAGTACAAAAATGGCTTTAAAATGGTGTACAATCTATTGGGCTTTGGATTTAACAATTTTGAGGTGCCTTTCCCCAGCTTGTGCTTGTCCCTGGTGAATTTGTGATAAATGTCATATCCACGTGGCGTATGCTGAGTTAAGTTTTACGGGTATAATCCGTAACAGGTTAGTGTGATCTACTCTATTGTCTTTCCCTGTATATCAATTACACACCAAATACAAGTCTTATACCATAAATATATTTTAGGTTTTGTTTCAAACGAAGATGAATAAACATTAAGAAAATAATGCAATTTTAAATTTGCATTAATACAATGATCGTTTGCAAATTTGGTACCGTATATGCAGTGTGTAAGCGTTAAAGGAACAATAACAATTTAACTGTACCGTACAACATTATTGTCCTTATCTATAATATCTATTTCAGCAACAATATTCATACATGATAGTTGGGTCCCCTCGTAAGTGAGTACCAGTCTTTGCACCTGTTCGTTGTTCGTATAACATTTGCACATTAAAACTGGAAATTCTTTGGCTATCGGATGCTGAGCCATACTTGGTCACTTTCTAGTACCGGTAGGCTACTGTATGTCTAATCTAGGTTTGTTTGTTCTGTATACAGAAGGACGCAAGAAGGGATACGGTGGGGCGATGTTGTGGTCTGCGGGGGCGCTGGCCGCCGTGGGGTTCGCCTCCCTAGCAGCGGTGGCAGGCAAGGCTATGATGGCGTCCATGATGGCGCTCATGTTGGCTGGGATGACGGCGCTCCGGGGTACCGGGGGCGGCGGAGGAGATGGCGGAGGCAGCAAGTACTCCAACGTGGAGATAATCAAAGCTCCGGCGCACTTCGAGCTGGCACCGGCCCCTCACTACGAGGGTGGACACGCGTTCGAGCACGACCACTACTACACGGCTCCGGGGGGTGGCCAGGCGTACGAGTACGGCCGCATGATGACCGTGTCACGCCCCACCGGCGACAGGACGGTGCTGGTTAACTACAACACACCTCCGACTCAGTAGTTAATATGTACACTATTTCAACTTTGAATATAATACTATTTATTTTTCTGTACAATTTGTTTTAATTTAAGCTTCCATCATTGATCCGTTCTTAAAATAAAAATAAATACTCAATGGGAAAAATTACCATACGTAACTTACATAGAAACGCCGAAAAACAGCAGTAGGTGTAGGTTGGTGAACATTGGTGTTTACAGGATTGTTTCCACACCAACAAAACCTTACATACATTCCTTATGTACATGTGTCCCCAAAGAATGTTTTCATAAAATAGAATAAACCATAATATACAGCGTATAATATTTGTATATGGAGAGAGGAGACTCTCAATCCGATGTTAAAATTTTAGCCAGTTTATGAATTAAATGCGTTAGCTTCATTGACCCACTGCCTGAGTGTGTTGATGTTTTAACTACTGTATCAAATACAATACTTTCTAACGTATACAGACTTTTGAACCAAGCTAAACTGGAAGGACAATTGGAGCGAAACCTGTATTGGTTCAAAGATTCAAAAGCTAAAAGAGAAAAATGTCATTTTGACATTAGCACACTCATTCAACTATGTTTGATTCGAATAAAATATTGGCTAAATCTAGTTTATATAGATGGCATGTCTCTCAGTATACAAAATCAATGATATATTTCATGTAATCCATGGTATCGATCACGACTCGCTCAGACAGAAGCTACGGGAGATCCATGGTAGGTGGTCCGTGGTCTGAGCAGACGTGCTACCGTTGTCACAGCTGCAGTCATGATAGCTTCCTACCACTGACCTTTTTCCGATTTGAATTCATCACGAACCTTTATTCACGATTAGAACTCCATAATATTCTCACGAAGAAGAGGAAGTCCAAGTATTAAATGCAGTCATTTGTTATAAAATTAACTTTACTAACAATAAATACTAAAGGTCGTAGTCAGTCATTAACGTGTTGCTGATCGCTGATGTGTGAAGTTCATGATGTGTAAGCGCGGTACACGATGTGTTGTGCTGAGTCACTCCATCCCCCAGCCTCTGGTGGCTGCTCCCTCCGCCACTGGTGATGATGATGGCTGGGTAGCCCTGAGACTACCACGTGCTGCGGCGCTGCCGCCCCCTTGGACGCTGCAAATAGTATATACCCATTAATGTAGTTAAATTATAGTGGTGAGAATTTGTGTTTCTTTCCTTTAAAATTTATTTCTTTGAAAAAGTTGTACTGATAATTTTGTTGATGTTATAATTAAAATGAATAAGTGTAGGTTCAATAATAAGTTTTATACGCTTCCAATGATTTTTCCTGACAATGGATTTGCTGAAAGATGCAGTAATAAACAAGAAAATCCTAACTTTATGTATTACACTTCAACATGAAAAAGAATAAATTTCTTCAGGCCTTAATATTATAATGGTTTATCTCGGGGAGCAAGCTAGTGGGTATAGCGCGGGACTTTAGTCCCTGAGGTCCCAGGTTCAAATCCCACCAAATCACCAATGAATTTTATGTATGTGATAGTGCTGCAAAGGTCTAGCCTGAAGTAAAGTGAAAAACATTCCCAAGCTCGTGCCTAGTGTCTTATGAAAACAATAGATAAAATGGTTATTTGGTCTTCATTAAATTAGAGTAACAGTTGGTTTCATTTGCAGTATGAACTGCACTTAATTACTCTATTTTGTAGAGTTGTAACATAATTACTATTTTCTTGTACAACTGTGTTTGAATGATTATCGTTTATGGAAAATAGCTCTAAATCTCTAAGAGATTTGTTGAAAAAGGTTGTAAGTGTAGATAATGTAAGAAGTTTGAATGGCAAAAATCGATAACACAAAAGGTCAAGGAAAAGTGGATTTGTTTTGATGGTTGATTTCAACGCTTGGAAACATGACATTCTTAGCAAATCTTGGACATAAATTATTAATATTTAATTCTAGCAAACGGGAATTCATATTAATTTAATGAAATAACTTGATGAAAGAACTACCTATCATATCATATGATAATGTTGAAACACTTTATCCAACTGTAAATACAAACCGTACTATTACCATCTATTGTAGAAACAACATGTCATGGTAATTTCTTATATTTGGTTAAAACTCTGTTTCATATTACATTTTATTTTAACTAATGCCATATTTGGACTAACAACCTTCTAGTTAAATCTTGCATGGATCGGCGTTGTATGTAGTATTTATTTGAGTGAATTAAACAAGTGATCTATTAAATATCTGAGATGTGTTCAAAATATATAACAATAACAATAATATTAAAAGTACATTCCATTAAAACCCGTGTAGAATATGATCATGAGATTATGAATAGCCTGGTTGCAGGGATTCATTTAAAGTATCTTGGTAATATTTACTGCTCAAGAGTCGGTTAATACTGTGGGTATTTAATTTAAAATGTTTATGATTTCAGTTAAATCGATTTATTCAGGTGAATTATTACTATCTATTAACAATTTTTTAAGACATTTTTAAGATCACAGTTATTAGAACAGATATTTATTTGAAAATCACATCGCCTTCAATAGCTTCAATAGGATTTCTCGAGTGCAACACGTTCAAGAAGTACAAAAAGCATTGACATTTGCGAAGGCGGAGAATGCTTTGTGTTGATTAAGAATAACACACTACATCGAGCATTAAAATTCCCTTAACCCTCAATAAATTGACAAATCGAAAATAATGTCGAATAGTAAATGTAAACAAACTATACAATTTATTTTCAAACTATGGACCAATACATTTTACGAGATATTTTGCTTATGGATACATACATATATCAGTAGTACTATACAAAGGTGAAAGGCTATTGTTAACACAACTTATTAAACACGATTGGACGGATTAGATAGGTGGACCATTGGTAACCCCAGACCATTAGATAGGTGGACCATTGGTAACCCCAGACCATTAGATAGGTGGACCATTAGTAACCCCATTTGTTTATTAGATAGTAGTGTACTATTAAATATTCTTGAATAATTCAGTACGATTTTAAACTTTTCAAGCTAGGTTTACGTTTCTGAACTAAAATGAATATCAGTTTGCTTCTGAGAATTAAAAAAAGAAAAACGAAAATGCAGAGATCTCTGACCTGAAGTATATGTTGAAAACTACTTGACTAAACGTGTCAAAATTATAAATTAAGAATATTGACAATAATTTTAAAACACAAATATGTGTTAGTAACGCAAAATTAAACCAGTTCATAAAGGGTTCTTCACTTCTTGATGGATATTTTTGATTATTTTGACTGTTAGACATAACGCCTTCTGTTGTTCGTCGTAGCCACACCACGCCAGAGATGTGGGATGTGTATTGATATTTGTGAAGGCGCAACAATCTGTATGCAACAATTGTTCAGTCAAGTTGCCTTTGTTTTTTGTATTAATTTTATATGTCTTTGTTTTAACAATCCATCTGCGATTCCCATCATATGACCATATGTTGATTTTCATTGTTGAATTCATTCGTCTCGAATCACCGCTCATAACATCACGCATTCATTTTTCTCGTAATAAATTATACTCTTTTATACCAAACCTATCGACTTTTTCCTCTCTAATATAAATACACCGCACAACATTAGTACATATTTTCGTATATATATTCGTACATAATATATTCGTATGTATATTCGTCTAGACCCAAAATACAAAATCCCACTACAGTATTACATCTTAAAATATCTTTGCTTTGCACTAGTCTTGCACATTAACAAGAAATTTATGCATTGACCAGAATATGCTTATTCCTTCATTGTTTCGGCATAGCCCATGGCCCTATAATTAGCTGCTTTACGTGTGTTTGCTACTACACCTAAATAACTAATGTCTTTTGTTATGTGAATATAAATATCCAAATTACTTCCAAATGCTGTACATTTAACACGGTTACGTGTCCTGTGAATAGGAGTAATATAGCGGTTTTATAAAAAGCGAAGATATTTATTAAAAACCAGGCCACGAAATGAGGATTTGAACATTGTTAAAGCTTGAGGGCTATCACATACTGTTTAATTGGGGTATTTTCCAAATAAGACAACATTTTCAAAAACATGTTATCTTAATTGAAAGGTATTTTTTTATATTGGGAAAGTCCTATTCTCAAATACGAGCAATGTCTGTTGTTTGTATGTCTGTCTGTAATATATATCTCGAAATCGGTTTTGACTAAATTTTGGAATTAGGGACTTATAGCCCTAAAAACGTGATTGGTGACAGCCACTACCTCAGGAAAATTCGTTTTTCGCCACACAACTCTTTTGAAAATGTAAAAAAATTACATTGGCCTTATGGGTTGCCAAGTAACTATGTTGGTTGAACAAAATAACAAGGAAAAAGTAAACAAAACACTTGTAGCATGTGTTGATAACTATCCACAGTATACTAGCAAATTACAAAATACAGTACAAAGGGAAAAACATCAGTTGTATATATTAAGCAAAAATTACACTTAAGATTTGATTGTTTATGGATGTTCTAACTAAAGGTATTTAAAAACTAGGGGAAGAATATGGTTGTAATTTTAGGAATGGATAATTTTTGAGATAAGAAAGTTATTGGTGGACCAGTAGGCCTATTGCTGGGAACTGCGAGTGTTGGTGAAAAAACTAATTTGGTAACTAAAAGTCTTAGCACTGGTGTGGTATTAGATCGAAAAATTTTTATGATCAGAAATAGATTTGATCATATCATTATAACAAAATTCCAAGTAAATTAATTAAATCTGGGAGTTTAAATCGACATGAAACATTTACCTTATACTAAATCCCAATGAAAAAAATGAGATCGAATCTTAGTATCTTCAGAAGTAGTAGTGCAAAAGCGAAAAATCGTTGTCACGAGCATTTTAAACTAATATGATTTTGTTTGAATCATACTTTTATCTTCTATCACCTGTGAGTGCAAAAGTCGAACAACGGGTTTCAATGACTAGACTCCCCTAAAAATTCTGTTTCGAGGGTCACTTAAACTTAGTCAAGATCATAAAAGTGTATCTTATTTTTGTTTAAAATTTCATACTTCTACAGAGTACAACTTTACAGTACAGAGTTGTTTATTTTTTCTGCGATAAAATGTATATGGTATGTAATAAGAATGTTTTTCGTAAATAATAAAATGTCTCTGTTTACGATATTGTTTTAACTATTTAACCCAATTAACCACAACCGAGCAAGGCTCGGTCCCCCGGTACTATTGTTTAAAAGACAACGACTACCCGGCTTCTCTTCTGCATGGGTATGCAGTTCTGTAACGCTATGAATGAAGAACCTTCTGCTGTTTTGGATGCAAAATTAAAATGCTTGCCAGCAAGCCAATCCCAACGACTAACTGCAACTGTTTTGCTGTTACCTTTCCTTACTTCGATTGTTTGAAATCTGAGGTAAAAGCTTTACCGTAATAAACAACGCTTTCAATTTAACCCGTAAAACTTACCGATCCATAAAACTTTAAAATGTGTATACGTGTATGTTTTATACGGTTTATTGTGTGCGTTACAGTTAAGCGAATGGTTTGTGGCAGTTCCAAGTACTCTTTAGTCTTGGCATGCAATATTTTATGTTCTGCCTATTTTTGATGCTCTTTATGATACGTTTTAACTAGTACTTGATACATAACGCATGTTGATAACGCTAATGAACTATATGAAATCCCGCTCATATCAGTACGGGGCACATGGTGACGAGCAGGTTATAATATTCAATATACATAGATGGGCAAAGGATGTGTTTGCTTGTAAATGTATAGTTTAGAAATTATACTGTGATTAAATGTATCATTTTAGATTTTAAAACATAGAATTCAATACTATCAGAACTAATCTAGTTGGACAAATGCAAATGCTAACAAATGTTGGAACAATTAATTACGATGCAATTAATTGAGACTAACGGCCTATATTGTATCCGTGCAAACGAAGGCCACACTGAAATAATAATAATATAATAACTAAACACAGAATAATAATGAGAAGTCCACTACATCGCTCATTGTGATGTGGCTACCAAACTTTATTATTTTAATGTTTTATCATAACGATATTCATATGGTATTTCAAATTCAAAGATTGACCAAACAAAAATCAGAGATACTGGCAACGTTTTCATTTGGAGTAAAATGCCACAGCCGATACAGGTAAGAATAAAAATATGTGCGTGGCGGTAATGTCCTTAGATTTTTATTTCATTATAATTTTTATGTTGAATACTAGCAAACAAAGGTGATATAATGAAGGCAAATGTTTATGAGGAAGTGTATTGAATTATTCGACCTACATTTTATAGTTTACAAATCGCAATATAACTTCATCCTCCTCCTTACAGTTATTTAGGTCTTGTCTTGACGAAATCAGCTGTGACCTCACAAGATGGTGGGATGTGTCACAAGATGGCCTGGTTATTCTATCTCCAAGATTCAATCCATCTAGGTGTTCAGATGGGCCACCCATGACATTTATTATGGTTTGATATGCTTCCAAGCTAACCAGCCCCATCATCACAAACAACACCAAACAGGCCAAAATCATTTCGAAAACACTTGAATACTTGGAAATGGTTTACTTTATAAATTTGGGCTCATGGACTCTTGAATCTTTCCAGGTCTGAAATTTGTCTCCATAGATACTGACTGAGATAAATTGCTATGGAATAAAATGGTTAAAGAATTTTTAAGAAACCCATTATTTAGAAAATTATCTTTTTCATACCTCAAATTATGAGTTGAAATAGAGAAATCTTTGGCAAAATGTCAGATTATAAGTTTTCATTGTAGGATTACAACTTCAGATAACATTTTTTTCACGAAAAAAAAATCACATTTCATATAATACAGTAGTTCCCTCTGATTATACGTTACCGCATCGCCAGAAACAAGCTTGCGCTTTCTTAATGCAGTTCTTTTTTCACTGCTTAAGAAATTGCGAGATTGTGTTGACACATGTACTTTTATGTTAGGCTAAATTGACTGTGGGTTTTATATAGAGAGTTGTCTTTCCTTGTAGAGTGATTTCACACAAAGGACGTCTGTTATGATATGATTTATAGAATAAATGCAAGTCCTTAAGAATTTAACATTATAAGGGAACTCAAACCTTTAATTCACTAAAACTTAATTTTTCAGAATGTTGTTATTATCTACAAATCCTTTTTATTATTAGGTTATTTTAGGTTGGGTTAGGCCAGATAAAATTAGAACCAGGATATTACTTAAAACTTCAACTATGTGTTGTTACATGCAAATTATATAGAGGTAGGGTAGTGAACTAATGGAAAAGGCCCTTGACATTCAACAAGTCGTGTGTAAGTATAGTATAGCGTAAATGTAAATATGCATACCTGAAGCAACAAGGCCTTTTATGCCAATGATGCCGGCCAACAAAAGAGCCATAAGGCTAAGAGTGATTCCCTTCCAGGCTGCAAACAAAGCCACAGCCACTGCACCGGGCAGCACAACACCCAACAGAAGTGTCTTCATCCACAGAGCCATGCGGGCCATCATCTTGTGGCGCTTGAAGTGTCTGCCTACAAACAATACACGGTTAGAAAGTAAAATAAACTTGGGATAAATATGAGAAGGCATCGATAAAATACACAACCTTTTCATTTGACAGCACAACTCGTTTATTCGAACGAGTTAGTGAACCCGCATGATCAGGCTATGGGAATAATGATTTTTTTGGGGGTTATGGGGTAAAAGTTGGGTTTTAATACTGTTCACCCTAAAAACATAAAATGACTCAATATCTTTCCAAAACGATTTGAAGGAATAAACAAAATTAAATAATACTAAGGGCAATTACTGTCCTTTACCTCCGTGGCAATACGGCCTTATTAACCATTCCCTATGCTGTGCACCATTCTAAATACTTTCCTTCGTAGTCGCGGTATTCCCCTAAAACGATACATTTCAACCCTGCATTACCATTCTCACTTAAAAACAGAACACTAAAATCAATAAACAAACAAATACGCAATGCTTACATCAGCTGGTATATTTAAAACAGCTTATAGAAACACTGTAGAAGTACTTAAAAACGACTGGATCTTTGACGGCCTGTGAGGCAGAGCAGGGTTGATTTTTGACACTTCTGATATTTTTACCGTCCTTGGACCTTAAGCTTTAAAATGAATCCTAAACAACCATTATACCTTTTTTGTAGCTCGAGATATTTTGTGGGGGCCGATTCTCTTACGGAATTAAATATAGATAGTATATTGAAGCGTTGTTGTATGTTAAATGGTTACAAAGAGGGGAAAAATCAAGTTAAAAATGCTAGTGTTATTCTTATGGAAATACATAAACCGTTGTAGTAATCACTGAAACATTAGATATTTACATTATGATTAGAATGTTGTTTATGATGCAATTTTGTTTTGTTCTGGCATGCTGTCGTTGTTAGTGTGCTTGTTAATGGATACTAGAGGTCGCCCAGTGGTCGAAACTCGACCAAAAATATCTAGGCCTACATTTGGATTTTTTAGCTAGAAGCGGTTTAATTTATGTTGAAATCCTTAAAGATGAACCTTTTTGGCTGTAGTGAGTGTGATCATGTGTTAAAAGTTCAAATGTAAATTTTTGAGGATAAATCAAAACAAACAAATTGGCATGTTGTCAATTAGGGACAATGTTTTATTACTTACAAAAGAATATTCATTTAAGATTAAAAAAAATAATTTAGTAAATGGCATTGTCTGTTTTATCAGAAAACATTCAGTATTTAGGCTACTGCATTTTATAAACCAAACTCGAATCTTGCTATCTTGGCTATCGTAAAACGTTTCCCTCTTTGGTACCTGGTAAACTTTTCAGATTGCATAAGTGAATTATTAGCAATACAATTTTGCTGTTATTTATACCTAATTTAAGTGGATCAAAACTTAAAACTATAGTTTATTAAGGTTCATCTCGTCATTTCAAGAGTATATAAGAGTGTGTATAAGAGTGTATAAAATCCTTAAAAGGTGGGTCTGGGTCTTAAGATATTTTCAAACAAAACGTAAATCATCATTATGTCCCAACAGTTTATCATATGTGTCCCAGTCACAGCAACTACATTATTCTAATAATATAATGATCGACATAAGTTTTGCAATAAGATGCAATATTGTAATATTTGCTCATGTTAAATTAATAATTTTCAAAGCAACCATCACTTAATTTTGAAGACAATAATTAAATAACAATTTATTAATGAATAAATTGTTATTTAATTATTGTCAACTAATGAGTTGATTTGGATCACGTCTTTATTTCACAGTAAATATTCTTTAATGACCAAGTGATTTTATTAAAGTAGAGTAAGTACTGTATATTAAACTATCGTCAACTAAAAGAATATATTATGCCAGTTTGTTTGTTTTGATTTAACCTCAACATTTGAAACGTCGTATGAACACATGATCACACTAAAAAAGTCCATCTTCATCCAACTGTGGAGGACATCCAGTGAATCAAATCTGGACGTCATCCAAAGATTCAAATCTAAAGTTCTAAGGCACATTCTCCAGGCACCATGGTTCGTTAATAACGAAATGCTTTACAGGGACAGTCGAACCCCAACGGTCAAAGGGGAAATTTCAAGGTTAAGTTACAAATACTTCAAGAAATTAAAGTACAGTACCACACTAACTACCTTGCTTTAAATTTATTGGAGAACAGCAACTGTGTCCAGAACAGATTGAAAAGATGCAATGTTTTGGACTTAAGTTGTTGTTTTTAGTGACAAAAAATGCAAAGTGTGTGTGTTAGCTTTATTGTTAGTTTAAGACTAACTACTGTATTTAAATTTTATCATATTTGCTTATTGTTCTATTTTTCTTGAATAGATTTTAAATTAAATAAAATGTTTAAAAAATATATATTCCACCACAGCTTAACCACTTCTAGCTAAAAAAATCCAATTGCACTGTACAGGCTTCTCTACTTTTCACCCCGCACTGTAAATAAAACATGTGATTGGAATTTCTTACATTTGTTTTGATTTGTGTTTATAACTCGTTGTTATTTCGTCACCAGCATGGCAACCCATAAAGCCCATGTTAATTTTGTTTAATTTCAAATTCATTTTTCGTGCTTATTTTTGAGCCTATTTTAATTTTTAAAGGGATTCTGCACATCTACAGGAAAATATCTTTCTAACAGTATGAGTAGATTTTCCCTGCAATGCACGCGAGCTGAGAATAAAGGTTTTAAAGAAACATGCTTGCCTATTAATATATAGATAGATATCTGAATAAAATTTGGAAACTTTGTTTATTTCATTCTAAGCAATCAACATTTCGATAAAAACACACCTCATTAAAAACAACACTACCTTCCCTGTAGCAACAAACCTAAGTGCTCATTAGCATAATATTTTTAAAATATGAAATAAATCTGACCATTTAACGGAATATTTTAGTGGAAACTTATACAGGTAAAAACAAATTCGCTTAGTCTGTAGATTTGTTGTGCCGGGGGTAGCCTATTTAGTGTGGTTATGTTATAAGTTTTAAAAAGCTTTTTTCATAATTTTTTCAAATAATAAGTGGTGAACCGTCTCAGTTTGCCACTGAAGTCAGTGGGTGTAATAATTATGTACATAATGTTTAGTCTTATTGTCTATGAGCCATCCTATAAAATAGAACAATGCATTTAAAATGTAGCTAACTATATACAACTCTATACCTAAATTGAATAATCGTAGCATGTTCATTGCAAAATTTTTTATCACAATTTTGATAGTAATACTCTTGCTCTTACTTATTCCATTAGGGGCTTAGAGTAAGAGTGTAATTGAGTGGGATGTTTTTTAAATACAACACTATAATAATACGGTGCAGTATAATTTACTTCATTAAGATGCATATTTTATGGTTTGATGGTCATCTATTAGTTGATTAAGTAAGTGAAAAATATGTTATGAGTATTCATTACTGCAACTCAACATAGTTTTATTTGATTTGTTATGAATGATTTATCCCAAGAACAATCTACGAAGAACTACTAAAGACGCTTCTTTATCAAAATCAAGGTTAGAACATTTCATAGTAAATTTAGTTAGCATTACTACAAGCAAAATTTATTTTAGCACGTAAAGTAATGTCATCAATTAAGAAGTCCTCACCTTCCTCTTCATCTTTGATCCACTCTCGTAATTCCGTAACGAACTGTTTAGTCGCGGCAACGAGCGACTTCGGTTCTATCCCAGCGTCGAAGTCTCCGGTAAAGTTCGCTTTCAGGACATCCTTGAGGCCCTCCACCAGTAACTCCCCGATGTTATGCTCCCTGGGCCCACCCTGCACCTTCACACCCACGTCCTTGTCTAGTCCTAGACCCACAGTCCGCGCCCATGTCCCTTGCAGAGCACACACCACCAGCAGGCTGAGGCAGATCATTGTAGTCACCCACTGAGTCCCTGCAGACTCTCTGCCATCTTAAGTATGGCTAATTAGGTCCCCCCTCTAGTTGACAAGTTACTTGGGATGACTGCGACGTTTGCACGACAATATCAATATTGATTGATGGTTAGCATACAATCAATCTTAAGCATCCTTTGGAGTTTGTTAGGGAGGGGAGACCCATCATCATCTCATCAACTTGTTCGTGTGTAGCATGCTACTTTCCATTGCTCATCACTTGAGTGTGGTTCACGGGTGGCCTGTTGTATATGTTTAAATAAATATCACCACTTCGTAAAAATTTTTACTTCTGCACAATTTTAATAAAATAAGACTTTATTATAGTTCACCGGTGATTGGTATGTTTTCAAAAATAATAAATATCAATATTTATGAGGGCATTGTACGTTTCAAAAATGTTTAACACGTATGTAAATTTATTAAGTTATTTACATGGTTCTACGAAACAATCGTATTTTCTGTTCGTGTGGTTTCTTTTAGAGCTCTGCAGTTCAATCTCTATAAAACTTAATATTTAATAAAATTTTAAATCTTTTTTAATACAGTTTTTTAAAACTCACGCATCAGCACTAATTGAATTCTGATTATAGCTATAACAAGATAGACATTTGAATATAAAGTAGGCTAAACACTCCATAAAACATTGCATGAGATACTTTCAATTTTGGACTATTTATTTATAGAAAATTCCCCCTAAACTTCGGAAATGAATATTATATATCCATTTTAGCTTGAATTACAAGGAGTTTTTCATCTTAGTTGATAGAATCTTCAGTATTAATTAATCATAATGTCTTTGCAGCATTTACGATCGGAAAAACCTTAGAAATTTTTCGTATCCTTTTAATTCTGAAATAAATTAACTGATTTCAAGTTCAAACATATCTGTAAGGTTAATTATAATGTTATACTAAGAATAGAAATTCTATGTCATATATAACGCAAGAATTATCACGCATTTACCGTGACCTATTTTATCCACGGGAAGTTTCTCCATTGTCAATATCTATGTCAAACAGATTCAGCAACAGTCTTGTTGATGTTGATAGCTGAGGTATTATTAATGTGATGCTGCAGTACATTACTGGTAATGGTGATGACACCAAGTGGTATGTAAATGTTGATCTTGACTTTGGTACCCATTAACCATTACCTCTCCTCATGCAAATGTTCTAATGTCCTGCATCTCATGTAACGGTCAACTACACCGTGCCACGTGTAGGTGGCAAAATAGTCTCATGGATTTTTGTTGTAGATCTTACAAAAGCGAATACGACAAAAAAGGCGTAATGTAGTAATTTTGTATATTGACATTTATTCGGTCTCAACTTACGTTCAATTATACGTCAAATACAATACTTTACTGACATCTTAAATTAATGTCATTCGAAACAAAGGAAGAATAATTAAAATATGAGCTAGTACACTGATGATTTGAAAAATAATGGTCTTATAGGTTAAACAAACTATTAAAAACTAATATTTTTTGTTGAAACACTTAAGAAAAGAACATTAAAGCTGCCTTACAAGTGCTTAAAGATTATATCTTATTAGAAAATTGTGTATACTTTGCATCTATAAATATACAATATTGCGAAAAAACTGAGAATTTACGGTTCAGAAACCTTCAGTTCGGTCTTCAGTTTGATCTTTCAGTATGGTTTTAATCTCCGCCATTAATTAGAAATGCCAACATTCATCCATCTACAAATAAAAGTACAATCTACGCATTTTAACCTCATCTTCTAATTCAGGGCTGGAAAATGACTAGTATTACTGGCATACAGTACCAAAAGAAGATATTTGCACATAGCTTGAACCACGTTGAAAGCAGTAACTTTAAAAACGGTTAGATTTATACAGCTATTTATTTATAAATTTTGATTTAGTATTGATATTCGTGGAGTCCATGTTGGATGGCCGTACGCAGGGCCTCCAGATGATGGTGTTTGGCAGTAGCGACCTCTTGAGTGTCTGCCAGGTATCCGGACTTGAGCACCACAGGCTTGGCAAGAGGTCCATGGTAAGGCACGACATGATGGAAGTGTCCGTAGTTGGCGTTGTAGTCTGAAGCGTATCTGCCACTGTTGTAGTGGTCACCGTGTCCTCCGTGAGCCGTGGCCTTGGCTACGGCGGCGAAATGCTTAGCCTTAGCAGCGGCCACCTCGTGAGTGTCTGCGATGTGTCCGTCATGCAGGACGTGTGGGATGGCGGTGGGACCGTGGTACTTGATGTCTCCATGATGGCCGTCATATGAGCCACTGATTCCTGGACATGATCGTATCCTTTGTCTCCTCCGTATCCACAATGTTCTTCATAGTGATATTCCTAAGCTAGAGTGGCGATATTCCTTAAATGCTATGAGAAGGGAAGGAGACAGGTCCACGATGTAGGAAATGGTGAAGGAAGTAGCAAAGACGAGCGAAGTGGAGTGTGGGAATGGATTTATGTATCTGCAATATTAAGACTGGTCTCAAAGTAAACTAATGATGTTCCTCGAGCAAAGCTTGGTCCCCAGATTACTAAACATTTATAAAAGCAATCTTTTTGCTTTCTGCAAAAGCACGAATAATTAGACACTTAAAACGCGTTGAAAGAAAAAGCTGATGTTTTATTGAAAATGTCTAGTTTTATGTAGGATGTATGCGTTTACGACGAAGGTTCATGGAGTCCAACGGTGGTGTTCATATTTTTATGATCGATCGTATTATCACTCCCCTCAATAACTAATGACAAGTCCAAAAGTTGCCGATTTTATCTTCCGAAGAATCATTTATGGGCAATGTTACTATAATTGATCATTGAATGTTACGATGTTGAATGTACGATACTCTCTACTTTGAATACTACAAGTAAATAGAAAGAGCCAAAAGCAGTTTTTAATTTGTGAAGGCAATGTAAAATGAATATAAAGCATCATTAGTTAAAAATTATGACACATCGTTATTTTATTATAGTAATAGAAGTTGATGTCATAGCAGCCTGTCGCAGATGTTTAGGAGAGTAATTATGGTTTGTTTTTTCTTATAGGTGAATTCAATGAGGGCTTAGAATAGTGTTGTTTTAGTGGTTTGATGGGCAGCTCGGTAGATGTGTTGTTTGAGGAAAACGAAAAAATGTTGAATCAGTTATGACAACTTTTATACAGATATTTATTTAATACTCTTTAGTTAATAATGAAAATCGTAAAGACCATGATGACTGGCCTTATGCAGAGCCTCCAGATGATGGTCCTTGGCAGCAGCGACCTCGTGAGTGTCTGCCAGGTATCCGGACTTGAGCACCACGGGCTTGGCGAGGGGTCCATGGTAAGGCGTCACATGATGGGAGTGTCCATGGTCAGCACCGTAGTCTGAGGCATATCTGCCACTGTAGTGGTCACCGAAGCCCCCGTGAGCCTTGGCCTTGGCTACGGCGGCGAAATGCTCAGCCTTAGCAGCGGCCACCTCGTGAGTGTCTGCGATGTGTCCGTCATGCAGGACGTGTGGGATGGCGGTGGGACCGTGGTACCTGATGTCTCCATGATGGCCGTCATAAGAGCCACTGTATTCATGACCATGACCGTATTCGTAGTCTCCTCCGTAGTGAGATTCCTTGGCTAGAGCGGCGAGATGAGCGTTCTTGGCTGCTGCTACCTCATGGGTGTCTGCCAGGTAGCCGTTGTGGAGGACTACAGGCTTGGCGGTGGGTCCGTGGTAGTAGCTGCAGTACACGCTGTTGGTGTACAGAGCAGCAAACACCAGGAATATCTAATAAACACAATTGTTTAAGTCAACTTGGGTGCATAATTTATTTATTTGTTAAAATACCCATACTTACTTAAAATACACCATACATAAATACACGTTTTTTACTTTCATATCTTGTTTTGTAACAAAGTACCTAGTTACAGTATTTAGAAAAATGTACGTAAACAGTTTCACTGGAATCTAGCTATACTACGATTTAAATGAATTACTACTACAATATAGTTATCAAGCAAACTTTTCGGCAGAATATGCCCATCTTCGATTTTAGGAAAGTGATTTAGAAATGTTCAGCAATGTTGGCGCAAAAAATATTATATAGTCCTTAGACTTTATCAAAATAGTTTAAATGCATTTTTATATACGAGAACTTAATCCACCTTCAAACAGATAGAACCTCTAAAACAGTATGAAACAAGTAGGGTTAACAGTATAAAACAAGCAACAGTATGAAATAAGTTGAAATAAGTTTTAATGGCTAAACGACTTCTTAATCATTTCCTAAACCTAAAATTATTTTGTAGTATTTATAAATGTGGGTTCTACGCCAGAAAAATCATGTTTAATCTTGATAGTACTACGTATGTTTAATCTATGGTACTACTCACCGAAGTGTTCATATTGTAGTGTTGAGGATGATCTGTATTGGCTAGAGCTCTGTCCGGTATATATACTGTTTCAATGAGCCAGCGGTCTGGCTCAACATCCCATGTCTCAACACACAGGTATGTGAAGTGTATTTTAACAGGACAGCGTAACACTGCTGAACACTAATAACTTTAGGTACTATATACGTTTGATAAAGAATAGCTTTTATATTTCAAATAATTTTGTGTTTATCACAATTTTAAGAAGCAACCCAAACTACTAAAATTTACATAAACCTTGGTCTCAGGACTTCGCTTGCCAAAGATATTTACGAGCTATGATTGAAGGGATATGATGAATTGTCAGTATTTTGAATGAAATAATACAATCATTGTATGTTTAATTGTTTATAATTCAAGTATTACAAAATACGAACAAAAAGACATTAAGGTTGTCCTCATACATAGTTGTTTGCGAATATCAGATAACTACTCGTAGATTCCATTAATAGCCTAAGACTTTCGGACCATAAAAGTAGAAATAAATTAATTATTTCTCTGACAGGTTGACTTGTCATCCCGTTGTAAATTTTGACGCTAGTTTTTCGTGACTACTTCATGTATACGTCGACACTCACTGATCGTGATAGTGTAAATGAAATTTTGTTTATATTATTTTGAGGTTATTTTCATGATTTGTGATTTACTGTTTGGTTACGGTATATAACTAGGAGACCAGTTATTGTTTAAGATTAGATCGTTTTATTTTGCCAAACGTTGTTTTACATGACTGAAATAACAAGAAACAACTTGTAACCAAAACATGACCTCTACAGTGCAACGTACTTGCAACGGCTTTAGCTGTTTCATAAAGATGGGAAATCTAAGGTAGTGTGTTTTATCTTTGCTTTTATGAATACAAAAAAATCTGCTGGATTTCAGGCTGAATGCAAGGAACTCTTGAAATCTGTCTAAAATATTACAACTCAATATGCTCAATAATTATAATACTGAAATTACCACGTCTAGCAATACAAAACACATTACTTTAGATGTGCATGAAGTTCTCAACCAATTACACACGTACTTCCATTGTGTGTGAGACAATGTAAAAGCGGTTGTGATCAATTTTTCGTCGTAAAATCCAGCATAAAACTACGCATCTGCGAGAGTGCGATTTTCCACGACACGTTTACTTGCGTTGTCACGCGCCAGTTTCCATGGCCCTATTAACCTGCAGATCATCGAAAGTGGAGGGCCGTGATCAATGACACAAATCCCGGATGACAGGTGCATCGGTGACTCGGTTCGGTTCATCTTGTAAACAGAGGTTCATCTTCCTACTGAAGTGACAGTGTCAGAGAGAGGATGGCTCGGTGGTGGTTGGTGCTGCTGGAGCTCGCTGGAGTGTTGGTCAACTGTAGAGGGCTCAACAACACTGCTGGCCCCTCGTTGGACAGCGTTGTCAGAGTAAGTGAGTGATAGTGTTATCTAAGCTATGAGCTCTTTAAAGAAAATATAGGTATTCAAAAAGTGATAGACTGTTGTTGATTGGAATTTAGCTATACTATTACAACTATACTATTAAAACTATACTTTTTAACTATACTATTACATGAAGGCTGTAAACTTTGCCTGCATTTGAAAAGTTTACACGGATTTTTAACTGTAAGGGTTGTACAATATTGTGTGTTTATAGTATCGCAGAAACCTTTTTCTCAGCTGTCATCTTTAGTTTAAGGTTATGTTTGTTAGTAAACATACATTTGTTAGACTGGTGTGCTTATTGTAAATACTACTAAGATATGTGCTAAATAATTTTGTTTTCGATGTCTAAAAGTATTACTAATACTTTTAGAAATAGTAATCATTTAAATGATTACTAATAATTAAAATTTAGCCTATGAGATTTTTTACTATGTAGGCTAATGTTTTCATTGTGTGATCAGCAGACATTTCTTGCAATTTATGAACACTGTTATGTACTTTAACACACATCAGCAAAAATTCACCCAAACAAGTAAAACCATGTTGTACATTTGTATACAAGACAGATGACATGATCACACGTTTGGTTGGCCAGGTGATGTCGAGCCAGTGTCGCGGAGTGTTCACGCCAAGCTGCATGCAACTGGAGTTCCTGAGTCAGCTGGAGCACGTGCTGACGACCAATGACTACGAGCTGATACCAGGGGTGTTCCTCTCCAGGGCTAACGTGACGTCACCTCCACTACCCCCAGGACTGGTGGACCCTCGCGCTGCCTCCCTGGACCCTGACCCTGCGGCGCGGGCAGTCGCCCCCTACGTGGCTGAGCGGCTGCTACGTCAACTTGGCACTTGGACACTCAGTGTGCCTGTGTTCAGCAACAACACTCTGCTGCAGCTGCAGCGCATGATGAATGTCTACCTCAGCGACGGCGGAGGCGTACAAGAAGGTCAAGCTCTACCTAATTTATTTAAATTTTTATTGATCGCTTTAAACGTGTTTACAATTATAGAAGGTAACCTACCAGTAAAAATCAAATTCTTACATAAATATTTTTAACTGTTCCGTGATTCCAAGTTTGTTTTATAGAGTGGTATTTTCTCTATTTAAATTTGTTAAATGTTTGTTGCGAATCCATAGTAGGCCTATTATGGAAAAAGCTTATATGTGTCTAAAACTTGTTTTGTACAAGAGGGCCCTATATAGAACCCTCAATCCCCTCAATCCCTATATAGAAAAATATATACAATCTTTTTTGAAAATATACTAGTCAACGTAACACGACTGCTTTAGTAGTAGTCTTACTAATTCATGAAATGATTTTTCAGGGAGAAAATCAAAGTTCTGGAAGTACATGGCACCAGCGCTGCTGACGTTGTCGTTCAGTATCTTGTCTGCACTGATCAGCAAGTCTCTGACCATGTCTATCATCGCCCTGATCCTGTCTCTGGTCAGTGGGAGAGGCAACTTTGGGTTCGGGTCCCCGCCAGCCTCGGCCCCGGTACCCTCGATAGCCTACCGCTCACCGCCTCCGCTACGGTCCCACGTTACACACTCCAGCGAGCTGCAGTACGTGGACGAGCTACCCGACGACGGGGCTCAGCCCTACGTATACGTCAACAGAAAGGCGTGGAAGGCGAGGGCTGACACTGTCTCACCGGTTGTACAGTAGACAGACAATTTAAAAGAATTGGTTACTATAGAAAGTGTAAAGAATAAGAACATACTTGTGTTTCAGTTATGATTCCTTACGGAACTGTTAAAAAAACACTGTCAGTTTCCTTAAAGATAAACTAATTATATTCAGGTTTCAGTAACGACATTTTTTATACTATTACTAAATGCGCTTGTAGTGAGCTGGGATTTAATTTATTCTAGCAACACCTGCTAGTCCTGGTTATATGTAAATGTTTTTGTTCGAATTAACCATTTGTGAGTATTTTATAAAACGATGTTATGTAAAATAATGTAATGCTTTCATTCGTTCTCAGGGAGAGGTGTACTGTATGTAGGTTTACTGTTTCTATGTAAATAAGGAAATCCACAACTTTGTGGAACGGGTTTTTTGCTCAGGTGAATGTGGAAAATCTCTTGAAAAGCCAAGCCCAGTGTTTTCGATAAGGGCAAATAATAATAAAAATATCCTTGATTATATAAAAAACCAAATGTCGAGTTGACTTATGTTAAATACGTTAGGCTAGGGAGCGTATTAGTCTAATTTTTGCAAAACCAATATGAAATTTGTTAAATTATTGTAAAGTAATTAAAGTGTCCAATCATGCCAATCGAGGTATGGCTGCGATGTCTTTAGAAGACGCTATTGTTTGCACATAGTAAACAATTATCAAGCAAAACATTGATTTTAAACCATTAACGTGAAAGCAATTTTAAACCAAATATTTATATTTATACAAACAAACAAATTATTTTTAAGTAAAGAATAAATGATATTAAAACTAAATTAAACTTTTCTTAAGCTTTGTTCTTTGGTAACCATTTGATTTTTATGACTTTAACATAAGATTTAAATGATATTTAAGTAATTTAAATTTGAGCTCTGTGACGTTTATTTAATTTTAACAAAATAACTTTCAATAAATTCCATATTGTTTTTAATTTGAGAAAATCCCATACGTAGGTTTGATAAGAAGAATTAAACATTATATGTTACTGATTAGCTTTTGATATGCTTTATGACATGAACTTACGTGACATTATCACAAAGAAAATATGCATACAATTTTAATATGCTTTTCCCAAAACCAATCAAAAACTAAAAAAAGGAAATAACTATTTCGTACCAAAAGTAATTTAAATACAGATATCCCTTCTGTAACTCTCGAAACTATGGTCTAGTTTATAATAACCAAAATATAATTGCTTCAAATAGATAAATGTAAAAAAGTAATACTTATTTATTACTTAGTATTTATTAGTAGATATAGACTAGGAACATGTAATACTAGACTATAAGGAGCTTAATAATTGAAACTTGCTTGTATTGTATTAAAAATACATTTTAAATTCACTATATGTAATAAATATAGAGTAAGAATATGTAATTAAATAAAATAAATTATTTATGGAATTGAAGTTTATATTTACTATAGTACTGTATAAGTTTCAAGACCCTGGTACAATTATTGTTGTGGCTTACATATAACACACATGTTGAGAAACTACCATCGTGGGGTAAAACTTATTACTACAAACATTAAAAAGTCAAATGAAATCAGAACCGTACACGGACAAACGCGGAAATGGTTTATTTTAAGAGGCAGCAGAAAGAAAGAAAGTACTGTATTGACTTGAAGTGTCCAACCACGTCAATCTAGGTATTGTTCGCGTTGTCCTTAAAATACACCATTTCCCATACTTCCCGAGACACACTCTACTCACATGCATCCTAAAAACGCTTTTTTTTTAGCATATCATGACTTAATTTTATAAGGAGAACATTAACAAAAGATGATAGGGGGGATTGCTATAAAGACACACCTTATCTAAATTATTAAAATAGTTATTATTAACTAACTTCTGGGATTGATTAGTCAAAGATACATGAACTAACAGAGATAATAGACAGAGAGACATAACGTAACAGGGGGAATAGTCAAAAGAAACATAAATTAATCGACGGAATAGTCAGAGAGCCATATCGTCACAGAAGTAATGGCCAGAGAGCCATATCTTCACAGAAGTAATGGCCAGAGAGCCATATCTTCACAGAAGTAATGGCCAGAGAGCCATAAATTAACAGGATATACCACAGAGCTATATGCAGTCTAGGGTACAGGAGAGTGACTGGAGCTTCTCAAGGGTAGAACCGTGTCTACACTTCTTCTCCAGCCGTGGTCAGAGTGATGAGGCTGTGCGATGATCTCGTATGTAGTGGACTTGCCGCCTCCACCACCCCCACCCTTCATGGAGCTCAGGGCTGCCAACATGAGTGCCATCATAGACGTCATCATCGCCTTGCCTGCCAGTGCTGCCAACCCAGCCATCATCATCGTCATCATGGCACCGCCCATCATCAGTGCCACAGCGCCTGCTCCTACACTGTCCTTCTTGCGTCCTGCAAACACAACGTTGCGGTATAAACATATAGGACATCAATTCATATAATATGACTTATACAGTTAGTTTGAACCCCTATAAAAAAGTAATTTCTGGCCATATATGGCCATATCAAAATTCCATATATGGTTTTATAAAGCCATATATGGGTTTTGATGAGCATATATGGAAGCATATATGGCCAGATGTGGTTGTATCCATATATGGTGGTGTCCATATATGGCCATATATGTAGTATATATATGGAATTATTGTTCATATATGGCCATACATGTTTTCGATATATGAAATAATTGTTCTTATATGGCCATACATGTTTTCTATATATGAAATAATTGTTCATATATGGCCATACATGTTTTCTATATATGAAATAATTGCCCATATATGGCCATACATGTTTTCTACATATGAAATTATTGTTCATATATGGCCATACATGTTTTTTATATATGAAAATATTGCCCATATATGGCCATAAATATCCTCCATATATGGAATTATGGTCTATATATGGTCATATATGACTCCCAGGTATGAAATTAAATTACTCATATATGGAATAATAATTTTCCATTTATGCTCATCTATAAATGAGTTTTTGACAATAACTGGAATTATTATAAGGGATTGTTGCCACTTTAGGATTATGTAACTCTCAAACTCCCAAACACTTCTTATAATATTAAAAATCTAAAGTTTATCAGTTTGTGTATTTTCTTGTTGCTCTCCAAGCACAAACTACTTAACTGATTGAGTTGATATGTGGTACAGTAAGGGGGCAGATAATATAGGCAATTCTCCTTTAAAGTAATTATTAGTAAAGAAATAAAATATCCAGATTTGAACCCTGATGACAAAATCCTGTACATACATCTATTTTACAATTTTATTATAACGCAACAAAATCTTAAAACTGACGTATAATTTTAAAATTGTAAGTGTAGTAGGCCTAAATAAGGAGAATATTATATTAATAATTAATTAATTGTACCTTTGCTATTAAACAGCCGCAAATATCAATGTCACGTAGTTAGGCTATATTAATAATAACATTCTTCAAATGACATAAAATGTCTAAGAAAAATCTTGTTTTACGAGACCAAATACAGCTTCTCTTATTCGTAATGGGTTTTGATCATCCACATGATATGAAGCAGACGTGGTGTAGTGGCTAAGGGGGCAGACTCTCACGCCGGAGTCCCGGGTTCAATTCCCAGTCAGATGCGTAATAATTTTGTTTTGAAATTTTTGAATTTAAAATTTTTATTATAGTTTTAATTTATAGTTTATACCATTTAAGGTAAAAATATGTTTAATTGTTATTTTTTTATTTATTTATATATTTTTTATTAAAAAATTCCATATATGGAGGATTCCATATATGATCATATATGGAGGATTCCATATATGATCATATCTGGGGGATTCCATATATGATCATATCTGGTTGTATTTGGTCCAAAACCAAATATAACCGGATAAAAAAAATTTTATATGGCCATATATAAACTTTTTCATAAGGGAATGCTTATGGTGACGGGTTAGTTTACATGACATTTTTTGTACCAATTGTCAATACAGAGGTTTAGAAAGCAAAGATCATGTTAACAGTTAATATTGTGGTACAGAACTTAAAAAGCTGGATTCAGACTACCAAGCTTATTTTATAACAAACGAAGGAGACATTCTGTATAAAAATACGTGTATTATTTTAAATGTTATACTCTGTAAATTGTTTGGTTTATCTTGGAAATTCATTAATACTTTAATTTGGTTAAAAAGTGGTATATGACAAACGGAGCGGTTTGTGATTCATGAAAAAATATATTGAACAATTACAAAACTTAAACGGGATACAAAAATTATGATTAAATAAATTTGTGATTAAACATAACATTTACAAAAGCAATAAACATGAACAATATGTTCGCCAGTTTGTAAAGCTAGTTAGTAAAAAGGTTATATTAAGCATAATAAATACTATTTATAAGAACATTTTTCAAATGGTCTGTGAAAGTTTCACCCGTTTTATTCATTTTGAGAGTTTTTTTTTTTTTTTAAATTGACTTTGAAAATTATTTAAATGTGCAATTACATAATATATTGTACCTGTGGAACTATCATTGACTGCAAGAAAGAGGCTCGTGCCGTTGACCAGAGGAAGGTCGAATGGTTTGACAGTGAGTGTGAGTGATCGCATGTACGAGACGACGCGGTGACGGAGATGCTCGTCCAGGCGGTCTGCCAAGGTCATATCACCTCTGCTAGAGGCTGCTGGAGACTCCACGGAGGCGCTGGACTGGTTGCTGGAGAGGGTGACTCCAGAGAGTGGCTGGTAGGTGTCATGTGATAGCCGGTCTACCAGCAGCACCAGGGTCAGCTTGAGACAGACGGGGCTCAACTGTAGCGCGCACTTCCTCCACAACATGTGTCGTATGTCCACGGTGTCGTTGGGCTGCTGAAAAATGTTAATAAATAACAAGAGTTGGTGTTTTAATAATTTTGTGAGAAATTAGTAGACCTGCGTCGGAACAATATTATTGCCAACAATTCCATGTTTTATACTATAAGTTAATTTAAAATATTTGACACAAACTTCAAAAAGTTCTTAGTTGTTGAAAATATGCATGAGCATCATAATCGTTGTACGTTTCATTAATTTTAATAACAGACACTGCCTTATGAAGAGATGACATTACACCCTAAGTTATGAAGTACTGTAATTATAATATAATCTTTTTATATTTAAGGCTCTTTAAATAACAGTGTGTCAATATTTACAAAAATTATTAAAAACTTATTTGATAAATATATTAAATAACCAAAAATGTAAACATATTAAATTTTCATTAAAATAAGTATTAGATACTTAATTAATATAACATACAAAAAAAATACAATTTGCGTGGATGTACCTGCTTTGATTCTACATCTAGAGTCGAATTCGTTGAATTAGAAATACTATCAAAAACCTCTTCAGCGATCACTGATGTAAAAGTGGTGACAACCAAAACCACAACACAACCCCCAAACCCTCCGACCATCTTGACACGAGCTCGGTGACTGGTGTCCTACAGTCCTAGTCAACATTTATACAAACAAACCACCAACCACTGGATTTATGATTCATTGTTCACTGGTTCTTCTGCTCTCCCAACCCGAGATTGGCATTGAGCTCTAGTTCCTCACTGGAGAAACTTGCATTTTCCAATGATTACATTTCTGGGCGGATCCCTTTACAACTGACTGGGCTAATTTTCTTGGTAGTATTGGCTCTAGAAGATTGGACTTCTAGGGTACCTAGTGTTGTTGTGTAGGTGAAGATTTTTTAGAGGTATTTACAGTTAATGAATTATTTTTCACTTTATGACCTCCTGAGTTAGCAAAATACGAGATTAATTTATTGTGTTTTACTATGATTTTATTAGTTACTTGCTACTATAGCCATGCTTCGCAACGGGAAAATGTACTATACCGCCTAATCAAAACACTAAAAGGTAGTTCAAATTTAAAAACAGCCACCAAATTTATAAAAAAAACGTATAACGTTCATGTAATGTTCTACTGTTTACATGAAAATATATCAATACAATTTTTTCATACCTTAGATACTTTAATTCAAAAGCAGAGCCAGGATTGATACAGCAATGGTCATCAAATCTTGTTTATTTCCATAATCAATGACACAGTTTGAGGACAAATAATCAATGACTAAGATTTTTGGATAAATAAACCTACCAAATAGTTGTGTAAAATACTTTATTTGATTTTATATTTGTTTAATATTATATATGTTTGGATCAGCTGTCTGAGGCCTATGACATTCCTACATATGTTGACAATCTTTGTGCTTAATTTTGGCTGTATCGGTTTAGTATTTTAGTGGTGTCAGCTGCACAGACAAACAGACAGACACCACCTCAATTTTATAATATTATAGATTATTTGAATACTTTGTTGCAGCGTATGATTCGATGGGTCAGTAAAATTTTATTCTATTAAGTGTGAAATTAAATATAAATGAGGGGACCCATGCGCTAATTGTAAATTGCATTGGGTCCAGACTTGTTTCTGAGGCAGAATGAAAAATCAACCCATTTACCTTTTCAAGATTATTGTTTGTTTAGAGTAGTAGTTATACTGTTGATGCGATACTCCCTGGTGTGGATTAACGTCCGCACTAGTGAGTACTACTACTATCCGCAGTACTATCTTGATAATTACAACATTTCGTTAATTACAAGCCCTTATTGTATTAAGTATAAATCCCTAGCTGTAAACATAACGTCTCTCATGTTATTCTTGTGGAGAATAAATCGATTGTACGAACATTTTTGTTTTTAGACTCTATCTGACTTTGTTTATTTCCTTGTACCATCGTAGTATTTAACATTTGATAAAACAAAAACTTGGTTATTATGCATATCACCATTTAATTCTTTGATATAAATTTTCATTGAGGCAAAATGATTTACTTGACTCTTTGCGTGGATTTAAGATCAATCATTCCTTTTACTCTTTATTGGACGTATAAAAAATACAACTAGTATATTAGATTCAATTGGTTTGCTGCTGTGCAGGTTAAATGGGGAATTTTAAAATAACAACGTGGCTTTTTATTTGTACTTAAAAGAGTTGCCCTGCCTGCCCCCCTCCCCTGAGAAAATGTAAACTAGGATTGCTTTCATAGCAGTGAAAGCCAGTTGAGCGGAAAGATAACGTTTCATGGTTTAAAGAAATGAATAAAAACATGTTTGTGGATTTAACTGATCAGGTTTGCTCAGAAATATCAACATCTATAACTTTCATCTATAAGTTTCATAAGTAAATAAAGATGTGGAGATTTAATACATATAATTTGTTTCGGTGTTTTCCCTGTGTTTGGTTGCTAATCTAATCTGGTGAACCCACAGTTCTGGTTGAAGCCGGCCTTGAACCTAAACTAATCGACAATTTCTCAATCTTGGAAAAATTTTGCAATTCAGGTAGAAATAATCCTGCATGGATGGTATTTTTAACATAATTATGAAAAGCATTGTTTTCAAGCAAGAATTTTGGAAAGATATTTTAGTTTTTTAACTTTTTAAGATAACCCAAAATATTTTTAAAGCTGTTTCCTATTTAAACTTTTGGAAGCGTAATTGTCCCCGACCCCTGGAACAGGCGCTCCTATTTGGGGGTAAATAATCAAATACGATATCGCACGAATACTAGAAAAATACCGGTATGGATCATAAACATAAACAAATGACGTTGTTGGACCGAATCCTATACTAATAGCATTGAACATACGTTTTGGCAGTTCCCTTTAAGCAATGTTAAATCATGTTTATTTTCGGGCCAAAAACGTCATTTGTTTATGTTTATGATCCATACCGGTATTTTTCTAGTAATCGTGCGATATCGTAAATTCTAGGATTCGTGTAAAATACGGAAAAACTATTTGTACGATTACAATTACAATCCCTCTTGAAAACAAGGGCAACCGGCGGATTGACGAAACAAGAGTAGGTCAACAGAGCCGGGACGGTGCGCTTCACCGGAAAAGGAAACAATTGCCAGGCGCGCAGCCAATTAACAGCTGGTGGCTAACAGGTAATCAGCTGTTCTTGCGATCAGCTGTTTGGTGCACAACAAGAACAATCACAGCTTGTGAAAAGAAACATAAATTGCAAGTAGTTTACAATGCAGCATTGAGGGGGGACAAATTATGGTTTGAAGTGGGAATAGTTTGCTGGTTTGCACTACATTTCACTGCAGAAACCAATGAAAACTGCCACAACTATTTTAAAACTATGTTACTTTCCCTTCACATTCAGTCAAAAAATTTAAATCCCAATATTTCAAATGGAAAGTAAAGTATAGATCTTTAAACTGGTATTTTAAAATATTAGGTAAATTTTATAAATTGTTTTTGAAATAGTAACAATAACGACTAAATTTGTATCTAGTCTCTATTAATTACACACTTAACTAAAAACTTAAATATTGACCTCGAATAACTCAACAGTTTTCATGGATTTGTATGCAAAAATTAGAGAGGAACATTGACAATAAAACATTCACGAATAAAATAACGATATAATTCCTTAATTGTAGAGAGATCCGAGATTCCTCGTAACAGTAGATCAAAATTAATCAAACGAGGTTTAAAAACGTAATACAGGATTTTTAAATGCATTTTTGTACGTGAAAATAACTTTAATAAATATATATACATATACAGTATTTTCAGTAAAAATTCATGAACTACTAATTTTATGTCTTGACGCTGCCGTACAGTAAGAAATTATTTAACAGGTCTATCTTCCTCCAGTGTATTTAAGCATTACCTTAATGAAAAGTCAAACCACTACAAAAGTACATCTGATGCGGTTTTTAGAGATTGAGTTTCAGGAGACCGAGCATTGCTCGTGGTGTTTACTTTGTAGGAGACGTTAAAAAAACATAGGCCTAAATATGTACAATTTGTATTATATTATAAAATAAAGTCTAAAATCTGTAATAAAAAATATGACATGTTATCATGCTCACGTTTGTGCTATTTGCACGACATTTTGTACACGGCACGGACGCTGTCGTCTGAAGTCATTGGAAAGCATTTTAGGCATGAAGACATAAACTCGCATTACTGATACAATAAAAATTTACTAACATAAGTATTCTGCATTAAAATAGTATCATTAGAGTAATGTCAGTTTTGAAAGCTGAGCCATTGTATAAGACTTGAATCTATAATAGTAGTTAATCTCATGTCATCGTTTATTGGTCTATATTTGACATCGGGTTTCATATACCAAATAATTGACTTTAAATTGATAAATTAATTGCCTAGACGAATCGTACAGTTTTGTGCTAGGCATCAGAAAATGTTATTTTTACTCAAAACTAATGAATTCCACTGATGAATCTACTCTCAGAAATAAATTAAAGTGTAAACATAAAAAACGGCAATATATTTTTCATATTAGATAGTTAACATTGTGTAAAAAAATATCCATATTCCTTTTAAGCATTTCACTAAACCTCTAATTGTGTAATATTTAAGGACGTATGAACATCCAGAGCTAAGTCAGTTGTAGTAGGTTAGTTATATGTATGCTACATTTTAACACATATTATCGTATGACAGAGATAAATGGCCGTTGTAACATAAACATAGACTCAATTCTTCATAATTTGTAAGGCTCTTCCATGCAACAATGAAAACGAACTTTTGCATTTTACATCAGATATAAGTGGAAGTTTTGGATCCATAAAGATTTCTAACTATCACTTTGTAAAACAAACTAGAGAAGTCCGAGGAATATTAGTATAATAAAAAACATCACAAGCCGTAAAAATTAATAAAAAACTTAAAAAAATATTTGATTTAAAAATATAGAAACACCATATGTATAATATATAAACTCTTGTGTGTGTACTGTTGTATGTATAAGTGATATTTTGTCTGTTAGTTAGTAAGAATGGTGCTTTTAATTAAATCGAGATTGACCACAAAGAAGTGCTCTGGCCACGCACGATGAGCTTACGCAAGCAATAGTGGACCAGATACCACAGTTATCAGCAATGATATCAGGGATGCTTATCTACCCAGGATGTTGAGCCATCGACTCTATGTGTACTTATACCCTGGCATCGTCCTGTACCTGTCAGACACCCTCCGAGCTCTAGGTCCATCCTAGCATCATGTTCACCAAGGTTAGTTGTACGAGTTAGATTAGTATTTTTATATGACGTTTTTCATTGCAAAATAACAGTCTATTTATGTATTTCAACAAAACTCTTCAATATCTATATTGTTTTATCAATAAATAGCTTCATTGTTGCAACAGTATAAATCAACTCTGTAAATACTACCACCACTGGGTGTTAACTGCAGTAGTACAAATCTAAGTTTTATATACAGGGTGTCCCGGAACTCTCTTCAATTTTTATTTTAATACAGTTATAAGAAATATCTAGTCATTAATGCCACGCTAGTCAAACATATTTAAAGTAGTTATATATAACACAATAATATTTAAGCTTAGTTTTCTCCCTAAACGAACACGAATATTATGATTTTAATTATCGTTGTATCGCGTTCATGCTACCTATTTAATAGTTTCAATTTAACTCAGTATGTAATCGTGATAATATTTTTCGTTTTAGTTTGAGACAAAAAGTTTAAATTCTAGTCTTGCCCCTATTTTATATATCGTGATCAAACTTACATCCCTAAGATATCTTTCTTCTTTCATAGAATCATAACAACCATATTTAAATTTTAAATAAACAAATATTAACTAAGACATATTATCACAATGACACTATATTATCCACATAATATTATGATCATGTATTATCATATCATATTATCCACATGTATCCATGATTATACTAGGATAACAAATAATAAATCTTGTTATACTTTTTACATTCTATTAATTTTTAAGTTTTTGATTGGCTAGAAACTGTACAAATGGATTTATAATAATTAACTGTTAGTGTTGTTTCCTAAACTCGTTTATTATTCCAGGCCATCCTTTTGATCGCTACCGTTCACACAAGTAGTGTATATAGCAGTTATCACTACAATGGACCCATAGCCAAGCCTGTCGTCCTCCACAACGGCTACCTGGCAGACACCCATGAGGTAGCAGCAGCTAAGAATGCCCATCTCGCAGCTCTAGTCAAGCAATCGCACTACGGAGGACATTACGGATACGGTGGAAGCTACGGAGACAACTACGGATACGGTCATGGCCAAGAATACAGTGGCTCTTATGACGGCCATCATGGAGACATCAGGTACCACGGTCCCACCGCCATCCCACACGTCCTGCATGACGGACACATCGCAGACACTCACGAGGTGGCCGCTGCTAAGGCTGAGCATTTCGCCGCCGTAGCCAAGGCCAAGGCTCACGGAGGCTACGGTGACCACTACAGTGGCAGATACGCCTCAGACTACGGTGCCGACCATGGACACTCCTATCATGTGGCACCTTACTACGGACCCCTCGCCAAGCCCGTGGTGCTCAAGTCCGGATACCTGGCAGACACTCACGAGGTCGCTGTGGCCAAGCACCATCATCTGGAGGCCCTGCATAAGGCCAGACATTACGGCCATTACGACTACCATTATTAACTAAAAAGTAATAAATAAAATAATTATCTCTCTGAATTTTATAACTATTTTAAAAGTTGGGGTTTCCTGTTCAAACAACACCTACAGAGTCACAACAATTTAAACAGCCCTATGTATGTTGTTATTTAACTAAAGCAACTATGTATGTCCTTGCTGAACAGACATACAAATGAAAATAATCCAAACAGCATTATGCTCTCATCACTAGCTTCAACAGGTCGTTATTTCGTAATACAGCGAGTCCCTGTCAAAGCCTGCCTAAGGTGAAAGAGGACAGAGTCTTAGAACATCCTCATTATATGTCTCTACAACTATACGGCCACGTTGCTTACAATCCTTTGCTGTGCCAAGCAACATTGCGACCACAGTTATTCACTTTTGCAAATATAAACAAAACAATATTTTTTTTTGTTTTAAAGTATGCAATTTTATAATATCATTGACTATACACCTCTACCAAGTAGCCACATATACCATCCGATCAGATCCGCACGGATGAGAGCTAGGGATGTACGCATAATGCAAGCCACATGTCTGTTACCCCATGATATCTTACATAAAAATGTGGGAGAGGGTTTTTATTCCAAGATTCTAAATCAACTACTTGACGGATTTTCATTATTTTCTTATTTATTTTTTTTTCTTTTCGTATTGTTTTGTATAGAAATATAATTTTGAAAGGAAGGGAATGTTGAAGCCATAATTTTAATCTGGAGTCAGAGAAATTAAGTTTTAATTTTTAAAAAGTGTAGCAGCAGTCGGTATTATTTAAAGTTTTTTTTCAGTGTAACTTTGTTTAACTAACAGCTGGTTCCAAACTGTCACTGAAATGTTTACGTTACAAGTAGTTTACAAATGTTCGTATTTGGTAGTACATGTTTGTAATGGTGTTACTAAATGTAGTTTTTTTTACATTTTTGTAAAGTATTTGTATTTTCAGGAAATGTGCAATTTTGAACTTTATATCCTAAACATTTACGGATAATCAAAATTAGTCGTAAATATAATCTTTGTAAATTTAAGTTTATGGTTTTTAAATTTGAAATCATATTAGGGAAATATCTTTTCAACAAACTATCACTTGTTTAAAGTTATAAGTGGTTTGAGTGTTGATAGTTCTTATATTTATGTTCGAACGTCTGTCCGTCGGCATGCCCAACTGATACAGAAGATAGGTATACAATATTTGTCTTTAGAAAACTGTTTAAGTCCAAATTACTGACAGTAGAAACAAAAATCAATTTATACTGTACCATAACTATCCAAGTAGGTAGCATTGGGGTATTTAGAATCGTGGGCACTGACCAAGAAACCTGAAATACCTTTTAATATGAATAGAGTGCAGAGAAAAATATTATAGAATAGAGGACCAGTTCAAGATAAGGGAGGTTAAAGGCTAAAGGGTACAAAAAAACTAAGGGCTAAGAGATATGTATTAACAGCCAGATATAAGTGATCTTTTCAAAAGTAAAATATAAAATTGGCATGGAGGAGAGAAGACACACCAACTTTTAAAAGTATATTCAAAGGAATACAACAAGGTAGACGACAACTTGGAAGGCCAAGAATGAAGTGGAAAGTCCAAATAATGAATTAAGTCTCCAAAACTGGGATCTTCATTATAAGAGGCAGGTGATAGAAGAAAATGGAGATATGTTGTTAATTATGGGCGAGGCCAAAGCCCTATTAAGGTTTCATTGGCCATGGAGTTATAGTATTTAGTATAATTATTATTAGAGTAATTAGTTATAGTATGTATCCAATGTAATAAACAATTATATCCTATACTTTAATCCTAGACGTCTGTTTGTCTGGCTGTCCGTCTGTCTGTCCGTCCATCTGTCTGTAATATACTGTACATATTGAAATCCAGTGGGAGGATTTTGATAGAATTTTGGAATTAGGGACTTATGGGCCTAACAACGTGATTTACGGCAGCCAAAACCTCAGGAAAATTTGTATTTCGCTACACAACTCATTTTAGAATTAAAACTTTTAACATTGGCCGTATGGATTGCCAAGTAACTATGTTGGTTGAACAAAATAACAAGGAAAAGGTAAACAAACAAATTGTCACATATGTTTATAACAATCCATCTACTGTTTTGTATGTTCCTAGCTTTGATGGTGGAAATGGTAAGGAGAATCGAAATGAACGATAGCCTAACTAACCAATAGTTTAGAATTATTGTTAAACTATTTTGTATGGAGCCGGTTACGCTATAAAAGAATCTTTACTTAACATATGCTAACGCTGTGATACATATTCTGTTTTAAATAGGCCTATTTATTTTTATTGTTCCAATAATGAACATGGATTACGAATCTAGCTAGGCTCATTACAACATCAGCATTTTAAGGAAGACGTCGTTGATTTTCTGTTTATGGTAGCTACAGCTGGCTTTTCTAAGTAAGAATTAGCTGTAGATGCAAAAAGTTTTTTTCATCACTCTGTTTTCAATAAACCCATTTCCATACACCTGAGATCTTCGAAAATCGTCAACTTCCATACACCACAAACAAATGGTGATCAGCTGACTTTTCCTGACATAAAGATTACTTTCGCTACACAAACAATACTTTGCCTGACATCAACAAAGTTAAGTTCCTGGTTAACACAAAACGAGCGAGCATCATTGTGTATTAATTAAAAATACATAGCAGAAAATTGATTAATTTAAATACAATTTTTATTAACAGAGTTTACAACTTGCATTCATATCAAATTTAGTCTAGAAACAAGATTAGATGTGACGAAATATTGGATAATCTTTTTAAGTTTAATGAAGTAGTAATTTTCATCGTGATGAAAAGTATCGTTCAATCAATACTCGTTACGAAAGTCCCATTTCGGGGCTCGATATTGTTTCCTACGTTGCACTAGCATGTAAAACACTATCTCGCCCGAAATGGGTAACTTTCGTGACTAGTAGTGAAATATACTATTGTTAGATTAATATATCATGAGGGAACAATTTTCCTGAAAGCTGTATTTATGATCAAACTTCCAAAATACGCCTTAAGAGGAAAGAATTGCCTTTTTAAAGCGGCCTTTGTTCACATATGTTACCTCGAATGAATAATGAATTATAAGGTAATTCCCTAATTTCAGAGACTAATAATAAACTACTTACCATTGTTGTTTATATAAATAGCTAAGGGGTAATAAGATGGAACTCTGTAAAATTAAAAATGTACTGTTAGGATGTTTAGAGGAAGGATAGTCAGAGATCGTACCTATTTTGTTTATAAAATTTCCTGTTAAAACTATTTCTATCGTTTTTACCTATAGCCAGAGTGGTTTGGATTGAAACCGAATGTGTATTTTTGTTTCATGATCAATGATCATGGTTATAACCACACACATTGTGCTTAGTCCGCTCACGTTGTAAGAGAAAAGAGTGTTACTAGCTTTTTGTGTTTAAACATATTTGTTGTTTGACATTAAATTTGCATTACAACGATATTTTACAATCACCCATAGTCATGACTCTTATAAGACCCAACTGTATAACATTAGTAGGAAAAATGTAAAATCTTATAATACGGACTGTAGATACCTTAAAAATGAAAATGTACTCTTTGAATGGTTTACTATATTTTTATTTTTTACAGTTAGTAATAAGTTTGAGAATCTGTTCTGTATGAGAAGACAGGAAAGTATCGTCTCTGGACAGGACGATGAGAGGTAGCTCTCGCGGCAGATCTCGCTCTCTCCACAGCTGCTAGGTGTTCCTTACGTGCAGCCTCCACCTCGGGGGTGTCAGCAAGATAGCCGTTATATAGAATAACTAGAGGTTGCAGTTGAGGTTCTGCACTGGGTCTTAGTGGCTCGTAAGTAGGAAGTTCATAGTTCTTTAGAGGAGATACAGGTTCTTGAGGATTTACAACAATTATTCGACGACTTAATTGCTGAAGCTGGTGAAGAGTCTTACTTGGAGTAACCATGGGACTGTTTCGGTGAAAAATATTTGGATTTCTCCGAAACACTGATTGCCGTCTAGATGAAAAATTTTGTGAATGCTGCTTGATAGTCCCTCTTGCGAGCTGCCACTTCTTGAACATCATGAAGAGGGTAGCCGAAGACGTCTTGCGATATCTCTGTCTTTGGTGGTGAAATTCGTCTGAGTTCTGCGGTGTAATGCTGGGCTAACGCTCGTGATAGAATAGTCAGGAAAACCAGTTTTGGCAGCACCTTTAACAAGTCATTTACATTTATTATCTCTTTATACTGGAAAGATTGTGACCAGCGAAGGAGATATTTACTTGGCGGAGATAAAGTTATTTGTTGCATTAATTGCTTTTTTAACAAAATGAAAAAAAAAATAAACTTAAATGTTAGTCTGCTAGGATACAGGCGTACATATTTACAAAGAATGATTTTCAAAGGGACATAGCCTCATGACGTTTACTCTTACTTATATGTTATACTTATATGTTACTTATATGTTATATGTAACTACTAAAGTTCAATGCGTCATATTATGAGATCGACATCTAAAATTCGACCGTACCACTCGGTTTTTATAAAGGGGCTATACCAATTGTGGGTTAAACATGGTAAACTATGTATGTGTTGACTTAATGAATCTAATTAGCCTGGTAAAAAAAATTACGATAGACTATTATTAGAGATTAGAGTGTCAAAAGTAGGTACTTAACAAATAAAATGAAATAAGTAAGTACAACAAATACAGTATATTTATATACTTAAATTTGGTCTATATGTCAAGTATTCTTCTCATGATTTTCTTAACTGATCCAACAATAATAAAATAAAATACCGGTAATGAAATATACATATGGAAAAAAAACATTGTTTGATATTTATATTACTATAATATTGGTTTTTATTTTTGGAATTTTCCCTGATCACCCTAGGTTATCCCATTCAGTAATCTGCAGATAGAATTGAATGAGCTCATAAAACCCTATGTATACTAAAGTTCATTGTAACTTGTCTTCTTTAAAGAAGAAACAAACAACTGATTTTATTTGCTGACTAGCTGTGTACCCGTTCTACGGACGGGATCATGTAGTCAGCTTATAATCAAAACAGCAGTTGGTTTGCATATTTGGTGTGCATTTTTCCAGATATGCAGGCAAAACTCCGTATACAACACGGATTCAAGGTCTTCTTCCCGATGATAAAACTCAAGAACAATTTTATATACAAAGAATCTCTAGTTCCTAACCTAGTCATTTAATTTCATTTACGGTTACACATTTTGCGATTAATCAAATTCGTTATATAAGAAAAACGTTTTTAATCTAACTTGGTTTGGATTTGCTTTCAAAACGTGATCGAAAATGGTTGTGGTATTTGTAAACAACATTTAATGTAAACATATCAGTGACAATATCTCCAATATCCTCTTCATCATCTGTTTTTACTTTACTTAAAATTAATTTATTATTGTAAATATTTACTTTTTGTATCAGTTTAAACACAGCCTGACGATGGAAACATAGTTTCTGAAAGCGCTTGTAGATTAAAATAATTTATTATATATTGGCTTTTTTGAACTTTTAAATTTAGTTATACATTTCATTATATCAGTGACAGCTAGGAAAAATAATCTTAATCCGAACAGATATGCGTTATCTCATAAATGAATATGTGACAAACATTGGGAGAAAATTTGACAAAAATGGGACAAAACTGCGTTTTTGAACGCCTATTATTTTTATTTCAAAAGTAGTGAGGTCATATTTAATAGCTAAAGACACTCTCGCCAATCCAGTGAATACAAAAAGACTATTTGAATCCTGATCGCTGCTCTCGTTTTTCAGGAGAAGGCCGCGTAATATGTCTTCTGGTCAGTGACAGACAGACAGACAGACCGACAGAAAATGAGATAAGAATTGTTTAGTCGTCTTTAATGTATCAAACGTAAAAATAACCAAAAAATATATAATTATGAGCAATGTACAGACAAAATTCTAATTTTATTTATATAGATAGATAGACAGATAAGAACAAGTCTCATGGCAAATTACTTACCTCAGTCATGGTGCCTCATGTGATCCACTCTGTTGGTCGGACCGTATGATATAGCCAACACGGTCTTGTTACGTCATCATATCAATTCATTGCGCAAACCTCCTCTCATCATACACTAACCATTCTTTAGAATTCTTTAAATACCTAACAGTTCAACATCTTGTCATGTATACTGCTTTACCAGCTGACCAGCTGGTAATTATTTTCTAATGATTGTTTATGTTTCGATTTTACTGTTTAGTTTTTCTGTTTACTTTATATCTTTAATCAAATGAGTTCAATAAGTTTATATCACTTATTGTTTAAGAAAAACAATACATACCAATTTAAAATCCTCAATGGTTTGTAAAATTAGTGTTTTAACTTCACGTAACAAAGAGGAATTTCTTATAACAAATATCCGATCTTTGTCAACCATTCACCCATTTTGACGATTTAAGTGTCACAAAAATGACCCTGATCTAAAGTTTTGCAAAGGGTTCTTTTGAGTCATTATTAATAGTTCTGGCAGGAACTTCCTTCAAACTTTTTTACCCCCACAAGGTTAACATTGGGGAATAAGTTGTTTTAAATTTTCTTCTGTTTTGCTTATGAATGCTTGGCAGCTTTAATAAAGCAGCTAATCAGATCATTTGTTTATATTCTTGCTCAAATCAAAGCTTGTGTCAGAGAGTTCATAATGAAAAGGATAATGTTTTTAGTGAATTTCCCTATAGGGAAGTAGCTATTACCGTAAGTGGTACGACCTAGGATACGGAACCAATTTACTTTTCCATTATGATGTCCCCAGAGGCCAAAAACACTATTGTTTAAATTTATATAAATATTTTGTATATACATATGTCCGTGAACGCGATAACTTGAGCAATTTTTGTCCAATTTTGATTAAATTTGGTGTACAGGTGTAAGGGGAAATAAACCAGAATGAGTTCGCAAACCAGCATGATCGGATCATGGGAACGGGGTTTTATACGGGGGGTTTTTATGGTATAAAAATAGTTTTTCTCATTTTTGACCCTCAAAAAATAAAATGTCCCAATTTCTCTCTAAATCTTTTTAAAGAACTGAAAAAAAAAACACAAATAATCTAGTATATCAAAGGGTATTTGTACGTTTATTGGTAACGGAGAAAATTACAAAAAAAATTAAATTTAAAATTGCCATGTTATTCTTATGGAGAATATTGTGAAAATGTTGTAGTTTGCTTTTTATGGATATATTTTGATCAAACTTGGCAAATTTATTTATATTATACTAAGCTAATAATATTTTACTAAAAACACACTTTATTAGATTCCTTGTAGCAGCAAAACTAGTTTTCGTTTAACCTAATGTCATTTAAATATATTTAATTGAAAATCAATTCAGACAATTGTAAATTAGCTTAGTCTGCAGATTTCCTGCGGCGGGGGTATTTTGCGATGCTGCAGCAAAAATAGCCGTTTGTAATGCATGAGGTGCGGGCCTAAAGTAGTATTTTTACTCTCTATGGAGTTAGCCCCATTTTTAGCACCTATAGAGTTAAAATCGAGTGTATCGAAAGTATGCATGGATTGTTTAATCGATTTTAGCTTATTGTTGCCTCATTTTACATAGTTCAACATATCGATAGGATAATGTACACTAACCCAATCATAATAGACGAAACGATTGGGAATCACTTACAAAAAAGCTGCTCGTTTCCATTGCTAAATTAAATTAAATACAAGTTAGAACTAGTTTTAGAGGTTATCTTCACATTAAAAACTATTTTGGCTTTGTAACATATTTTGTTCAAATGATGGTTCAATATGACGAAAAATATAGATTTTTTTGCACTGATAATTTATTGTTATTTACCTTTAAAAAGTATGTTAAATTAAAACAATCAAATTTAGTTGAAATCTTCAGACCTTTATTTCAAGTATTTCTCCTCGTATAAATTAAGTCTCCTATTTATACGAAGTTTTTTCCACTAATCACAAACAATTAAACTTATACAAAGGTTTTTCACTTGAAGGGAAGTCACCAACAATCAAGACATTATTATAAGTCAAAATCAAAAGCTTCAACAACTCCTTTGTAAGTGATAGAACAAACACAACCAAACACAAGAGAAGGACCTTATGTGTCAAGTTCATCACAGAGTTGGTATAGCAGTCGCTATGGTCAAGTTTATTTGTATGGATGTTGTGCACTCTGACAGACAAGATAAAAGACGTTACAATTGGCCAATAAGTTTTCAATCAACTCTAAGAATCTTAATACAATTACTCGAATTCAAGCACATAGTTTGTGTTTCTTACATCTTGGCTCATTGAGCCGCACGGGTTCCTTAGTATTATGGCCTATATTAGGCCCATATAATTTAAAAATGCACACCTTTTCACCAAATAACTGAACATATAAATTCTAGTGTGTGACCACATATTACTAGATGAAAATCTAGTAATATACCGTAACCTTAAACCCAAGGTCAAATTCTGGTTATAGTGTCCACCTGTGTTAAGATTTTATGGTTTATAGATTTTTATGTTCCATAAGATGTTATGGCACTTAATCCATCAGAAAACATCGTTTTCAAAAATGGTGAAAGAAAATTTATCAAAACGTAGTTAATGACCGAAATGGTTTGGGTTGTACCCAATACTGTGATCTATCTTTTTTAGAATGGATCGTTATATAGTGTTTGGTTGGTCTGTTAAGAATAGGCTTAACCGTTTTTTATGTCTAATGTTCACATCCTAGGAAGCTAGTTTTAGTCCGGGACTGTTTTACATATTGCTTTAGGCTAGTCATAGAGGGTTATGTGGCATTATCACACAAATAAAAACTATATTGTTGGAATTTAAACCTGGAACCCCGGGAACCCAAGCCCCGCACAATACCAATACAGCTGCCCGCTCCCCTTACAAATAATCTTTATATTAAACTAGAGTTAACGTAAAGGGAGATCTTACTATTATACGAAATTTTTCGTATTTTCTTCCGAATCACAGTAGGCCTAACTACAAAGTTATGTTAAGCCGTGTAATGGGAAGCCGGAAGTTCTTGGATTCGTTTTTGGTAAAACGCAGTTATATTAAATTCTCATAGATATAATGACGTGGATTATTTTTTAGAATTCATACTACAGCGCATTTTTATAGTATTATTTTTTTTATTTTACATTTCTCCTTTATTGAGCATTATGGTTTCAGTAATATAGCAAGGTACCTTTTTCTTCTGGATCCATGATAATAGCAATCGTTATCTCAAACACGTTGCAAATATTTACTCATTGGGATGTATGATGTTTTCTTCTACGTTGTGCTGATTTACGTTCCATACATATGGCTCAATATCTTAATGGATAATCCCGTTTAATGTTAATTTAGAACGCAGCTAAAATAATCTAGTTTCACAAAGTTTACAAGCAAATGAAAATAATAAAATGTGTGCAAATTTTAAGCCACTAGGGAAGTGGACATCCTATCTACGAGTATATTGGCCAGTTCGTGCTGATTTTTAACTCAAAGAGAATACAATTGAAGTATACTATCGTTACGGCGTGGAACTATTACATTATTGCTTTTTCCCAGTGTTTCATCCTATGATAGTTTATAGAGATTTATTCAGAGACACATTATGCTATTATAGTTTGTAATTAGCCTAGTGGTCATTTCAGGTGGCGTGGAAATTTTGTTGAATAAGAAAGAAAACGTCACTTTATAGCAGTACTTCACAACAGTTGACTGACGGTATTACAAATTCGTTTTGACTCTAATACCAGCTACTAACTTCACGGAAATGAACCTGTCGTTCATGGTGGTGCGTTTACGGCAGAACGTACTGTATAGCTCACATGCGTTATTCTGTTATTGTTCACATTACTGTTGTCGCATTTAAGTTTCCGTTCAGTGTGGTGTGAGTTGTAGGCCTACATCACATTTTTTGTAAACTGTAGTAAACAGAATGTCAAGTGTAGAGAATGTTAATTAGCTGTTGTATTGATGTTGATGTTGCAACTGACAATCAGCGTTGGATAACATGTATCAGGGCTGGCTGGGTATATAGGCCAGCTTACAATGCCCATTTACACAGTCGCCTCTGAGAACGGTTCCAGTCACCTGACGTTGCAGAAATGTTTTGGGTAAGTGGTTACTTGTTTTATTGATAATAGCATTTTATAAACTCTTACCTGTCTAATTAGTGTAAAAAAATATTATATCATATATATGGGTATATACCATTATCTATGTATATACTTAAAAATAAGGAATTTTATCTGTTACACTTTTTTTATTTGTCCTATTGACAGATTTTTACGATTTAGGTGAAGAGCGTATGATTTAGCAGAGGAATAAATTTCAACAAAAATGGCAACTCCGCTAAAGACTTTGCACCCATAATGTTTGATGTGTTTCTAGTGTAAGCTTACAAAAATACAGTGCTGCTGACTAAATTTCTTTAATGGTTTGAAATGTAAATTGAAATTCAAAAGCTTTATATAAACGTTTAACTACAGTCAGATTGTTATCAAAATACTAAACATATCATTATGAAGAGTTGTTCTCACTAGCAGCCAGTTCCACTTCATGATGTGATTTCAAAATCTGTGATATATTTGAATTTATTTAAAATTTTCTATTTCTCTGAATATTTAATTAAGTGGAAAACATGCTTCAGATAATCATTGTGATTAAATGGAAAATCAAATGTTTCCCACACGCCTTAAGTTTATGAAAAACATGTGTAATATTTAAAACCAAGATAACTTTTTCAATAGTAATGGTAACACTTAGACTTAAATATTGTTAATTTTTTAATATTATTGGTATTGTTCGCAACAAAATGTTGATGTTTTTAAGCCTAAGATTTGATGACATCAACTACATCCAACGTTTATATTTTGTAGGTAATCATTCCATAAAAATCTCCTGTAAATAAAAGTAGGTACTTATAATTGTTTATATATGCCTTGTGTGCTATACATTCATTAGTCAGACATAAACTAGTTTACAAAATAGTTTATCAACTAAATAATTAGTCTATAGCCTCATCTGTTGGTTTATTTGCTAGGACCCCGAAAGCATCAGTCCGTAATTAAAAGTGTGTGTGAACAGTAATGGTATTTGCAACGACGGTTGAAGGGTATTAACAAAGACACATTTAACGAAATAAATGTGTAAACAGTAAGTTAATTTATATTATAAAGTTCCTATGGAAAATGCAGTGGTTGATGCGAGAAACGTGATATTTAAGAGTTTGCCGTTCGCAGGAGCTCGCGTTGGTGTCCCTGGCAGCATGCGTATGCTATACTGAGGGCCAGACCAAGTACAGAGCTTACGACGGTCCTCCAGTGGTCCCAGTTATTACCAAGGATGGCTTCCTTGCAGATACTAAGGAGGTGGCCGACGCCAAACAATACTTCCTCAACGCTCTAGCAAAGACTGCAGCTGAGGTTAAAGACAAGGGGCCCAGGGGATACAGCGGGTATGTTGATAGAGTGTAAAGAGTGTAAAAACAAAGTTAATTCAAAAATCTTTCCCGAACCTTTTCAAGGAACGGAAAGTGTGGTCGCCTCTAATCCATAGTATATTAATCGTTGTAATGTATGAAATTGTAGTAAATTAACTACATTTTAACTAAGGTAAAACTAACCAACACATAGCACCATCGGCTTATATATCCTCTCGAAATCACCTTTGTTAATCGGTGTACAATTTTATTTGGTTTTTAGATCACCCCATCTCCAGCGAGTGTATGATCCAGTTCCTCTGCAGCCACAGCAATACCAGCCTCAGCAATATCAACCTCAGCAGTACCAGTCTGAGCAGTACCAGTCTCAGCAGTACCAGCCTCAGCAGTACCAGTCTCAGCAGTACCAGCCTCAACAGTACAAGTCTCAGCAGTACCAGCCCCTGCTACACCGCTCCCAGCCCCAATACCGCCCTCGTCCCACACAGCCTGCCCCTGTTTACGAAGACGACGGACAATACGACGACGGAGAGTACCAAGAACAGCCGGAGTATTCTCCTCTGCCCAAGACGTCTCCAACATCTTCACGGCCGGACCCAAATGTGACACCGATCATCCTGGAGAACGGCTACATAGCCGACACTCACGAGGTGAACGCTGCCAAGGCTGAGCATTTCGCCGCCGTGGCGCGCGCCCAGGAGCTGGTGGCTCGGGCGCAGCAGAGGGCTGCCCAGAGTGGCTACCAGACGCCTGCACCACAACTGCGACCTCAGGCTCAGTACCCCTCTGCTCCGGCAGACTATTGAATATCGCACCAAACTTGACAACTCATACTACCTCTGTGATATAGTGTAATTATTGTAAAATCTATTGTAAATAAGTAAACTAAACTACCCTTTCGAAATTTACTTATTTGTTGCCCGCGGTTGCTGACGCTGAAAACTCCAGTTGAAATGCTACCTAAGATACAATTGTTACGAATACTGAAGATTTCAATTCATTTTGTTACGGTGTGATACTGTTCACCTGAAATTAAGATACAAAGATGAGCCTTTTCATGAAAGTCCTTAAATGTATATAGAACCAGCATAAACAATTATTTACCGTTGAACAGAGCTTTATACTCTACTTCTAGCTTTTTATACTCTAGGAAGTATAAAATATTTACAGTTATCTTTCCTATGTGGACATATGGCCTTAATCATGATTCATAGTCATAAACGAAATGCATTTACTAATTATGAAGGATTTATTTGTAATAAAGTATGGACGAATATATATTTTAAAATTATAATTAACAAGTTTGGGACAAATAAATAAATACTTATTTTCTAAGAAAAACAATAAATAATTATTATAACTAAGAACTAACTATGATAGTTTGAAAGGAACTGTTTCACTGGCTGAATTTGTAGATTAGTATATAATTAACAAAACATTTGCTAACGAAATAAGCCAAGAGTCCAAAGGTATGTATCGTCACTGTTCTGGAGAGGGTATCCACTTCTAATTATATCAGAGGTTGACACTATATTGTGAGTATGCCCAGGCCCCAGGTCCACACTTCTCTTGTGGTAGTGACCGTGGTGGTCGTGTTGGACCTCTGATGAGTGTGTGTTGACGTGACTGACGATAGGTTTAGCTATCACTTCGTAGGTCTTGGTCTCTCCTCCTCCACCTCCTCCGCCCTTCATCGCAGCAAACGCTGCCATCATCAGAGCAGCAAGTGACGTCATCAGTGCCTTGCCAGCCAACGCCGCGAGCCCTGCCATCATCATGGTCGCCATCATACCTCCCATCATCGCTGCTACTGCTCCGTATCCTCCAAGACCCTCCTTTTTTCGACCTGTAACATTAATACTGTACATACTTTCGATGGCATGGTTGGTATGTGATTTTGTAGCTAGGATACGTTTATATGTGGAGTGCATGTTAAGGCAAATATTTTTGAACATAAATCAAGCTCAATTTTTATATTTTATTGTTTAGTGTAATAAAAATGTCTATAAACAAAAATCAGATTTATAATAATTAATATAAAATCAATACTAGTCCAAACAAGGTTTAACCTCCAAAAAGATCCAAAAGTTTTGAAACTTTGCCCACTTATTTCTAGGTACCTAGGGAAAATTATACCAAAACTCCCCATGAATATGAGGCGAGCTCTAGCGGTGGTTGGCGAAAACAGGGCACCCTTTTCTGTTTTTGCCTAAAATCTTGAGAACCGTTGGTCGAAGTTAAAAGTAGCTACACACCAAATGAAAGGTCATAAAATTTTCAACAAAAATTTAATTTACACTTTTATTTTATTACTAATGGTTAAGGAGTTATAGGGCTTTAAAATGTGGCATTTTTTCTTAAACTGTCTGTATTTTAGTTTGCACCATTGTTCACACCCCGATAGTTTGAAAAAAACACCATATTTTAGCGACCTATAACTCGGTACCATTAGGAATAAAATAAAAGTGTAAATTTTTTTGGGAAATGTTATAATCTTCCATTTAGTACGTGGTCACTTTTAGCTCCGACAAACTGTTCTTGAGATTTTAGCAAAAAAACTAAATAATGGGCCATGTTTTCGCTAATTGCCACTACATCTCGCCTCATATTTATGGGGACTTTTGGTATAATCTTCCCTAGGTACCTAAAAATATGTGTGCAAAGTTTAAAAAGTAAAAAGTAAAAAGGTGTGCAGCTTTCAAGCCATTCTTATCAATGATATTTGATAAAAAAAAGACACTTTTGGGGTTATGTAATATTTTATTATTGTTTGAAATAATTTGAAATTGCTTAAAATAACTTTCAATTAGGATGGAGACTGTTGCATTGTTGTGGCAGACTTTAGCCGCATGCCTCGGCATGCACAACAACTAACCTCCAGCGGTCACGTATTACTAAAGCTGCCATATCTCAGTTAATATTCGTCCAATCTTAAAAAGTAAGGTGTCAATCGATTTGTAATTACATTGCCTTAAATAGGTAGCCTTGTAATTTTTTTGTAAAATTAACGGTTTTTGATTTATGTTAGAAACAAAATCTTAAATGGCCGCAATTTTGTTTTATGTTTTTAAAAAAATTGTCTTAGTTTTTTTGTAGCTTTGTCTGGTTGTCATAAATATTTCTGAAAAGTTTTAATTTCGTATCTTTTAGCTTTTTTAAGAAAACAATCAATAAGTTAAAAAAAAATGGCGGCTGTGTGAGTAACTAAGGACTTCCGAACAATTTAAATATGATATATGAATATGTTTCTTAGCCAGGAATAATACCTTAAAATATCCGACTCGAATTCTTAAACACCCTTTATAAGCTGGAAGTGTAAGAATTTCGAGTGTATTAAAACATACGCTTGGGAATTGAATGAAAACATAGCTTTACCTGTTACAGAATCAATAACTGTGTTCTGAATGGTTGTATTCCCTCCTGATAAAAGGTCTGCGATGTTGACGTTTAGAGTGAGAGACCTCAAGTATTTTCTGAGTGAGAAGGCTACCAGATCATCCAGAGGGGCGAGGTCTGAGGAGAGGCTCCGGGCGAGCTCCGGCGGTAGCTGGGAAGTCTCCGAGGAGTTAGTAGAGAGGTAAACTCCGGGGATCAAAGAGAGGGCCGAGCCCTTGGACATGATTTCTGCTGTGCGGACCAGGTTGAGCTTGAGGCAGGCGGGACTGAGCTTGCGGTAACACCGCTTCCAGACTACCTGGGAAACATCTCAACATTATTTACTCGATGAGTCAGGGTCTAGAACTAGATACCCAACTCTTAATTAGGTGGTCTTTTTGCATTACCGTAGATGTCCAATGACTAAAAAACTTATAGTTTGTGATGGATTTCCAATTAAATAGTTTGATTACACATTCATCCCTATTACTTTCATATCTTTAAAGATAATCTGATGATCAAATTGAGTGAATTTATGTAAAAGGACTTGTATAATGTGTTGAGGCCAACTATATACTTGCAATCCCGGTTTCAATACTTTATTACTGGATATCTAATACAAATAAAGGCGTGTTTCCTACTTTACTTTACTACCTATATGTTTTTATTTAGCGATGTCCATGTTCAATAATTTCACATTTTGCAAGAGCTTATCGGAAAATCATAAATTTAATCAACCCATGTTTTGTCCAACGACCAATGGGACTCAGCCAGTGCAGTGTTCTGATTGGTTCTTTGAATCGCATGACCAGGTTGTTTTGATTGCACAGTGGTACAGGTTATGTGATAGTGAGCTATATACAGGGTGGCTGAAAAGTAACTTGCAACCCTTCCCTTAACTTTTCAATCATTTGAGATATTTGAACTCGGTTTGCGGCAACCTTCTTAGATATGAGAGGCTACAATAATTATGGTCAATTTTGAAAATTTTGCCCTTAGGGGTAGCGGGGGTAGGGGGTAGCTCAACATTTTCAGATGACAAGTATAGTCGATTTTGGTATCATTTTACAGGTCTTGACGAAACATAAACATTGACATAAATAAAACCAAAATCGGCTCACTAATAACAAAATGGCGCTCTAAAACATTTCAAATCCAAAAACCATGAGGGTGGCAAAAAAATTTACTTGCACCCTCTTTAACATTTTAACTATTTGAGATATTTGAAATCGGTTTGCGGCAACTTGTTTGGATATGAAGGGCTACAATAATTATGGTCGGTTTTGAAAATTTTGCCCTTAGGGGTGCGGGGGTAGGGGGTAGCTCAAAATCTTCAAATAGCAAGTATAGTCGTGTTTGGTATCATTTTGTAGGTCTTGACGAAATATAACAATTAACATAAAGAAAATAGAAATCGGACCATTATTAACAAAATGGCAGCTAAAAATGATTGAGACAATGGTTATTTAAAGTAATTTTGAACACAATTCCTCAACCGAATTTCAAAATTTTGTTTTTGTTTTGATTAAACAAGATAGCCTGTACACAATTTTATTAGGTTTTCCACTGTAAACGGTGGAATTCTTTTTTTGTGTTTATTGGTTTGTAGTTTACCTTCCAGCTCTATAATTAGGTTTGGAAAGTAGCGATTGTTGTAAACTAGAATCAGTGAGGTGGTAAATCTGTGGGGAAGTCGCAGCTTCCTAGGTGAGCGTTCTCTCAGCCGTGCTCTATTTACACGCAGAACAGTGCTGTGGAGTGTGGAGTGAGGTGGTAAATCTGTGGGGAAGTCGCAGCTTCCTAGGTGAGCGTTCTCTCAGCCGTGCTCTATTTACACGCAGAACAGTGCTGTGGAGTGTGAGTGTGGTGGTAAATCTGTGGGGAAGTCGCAGCTTCCTAGGTGAGCGTTCTCTCAGCCGTGCTCTATTTACACGCAGAACAGTGCTGTGGAGTGTGGAGTGAGGTGGTAAATCTGTGGGGAAGTCGCAGCTTCCTAGGTGAGCGCATCGATCTCTATTAATACAACTGGATCGCGCGCTGTGTGTTGGAGTTGCGGTCCGGCCGCTCGGCTCTGCCCCCACCACTAGTCCGTGTAGAAGCGTGCTCTCTTACATTACACCATACGGCGGGACCACGTCTGCCGTCACGAAAACTGCTATATCTTCACATGTAGCTGCTCGATTTTCAATTCATTTACATATTTTTAATCCGTATAAACGTGTGAAGAGTATAGTCTAAATTTCATATCAAAATAATGTAATGGCAAACTTTAAGTAAGTTAGAAAGCGACCTACTGTTCTGATGTTTATTTTAACCACATCATTAATTGTGGTCTGATTAAAGCTGAGGAGATCAGTCATTCCTTATCATTAGGTTATTAATACGTTTTATCGGTATACCAATCACCGATCACTATATTTCAAATAAAAAATAGTTAAAGTAAACTCCAATTTAAAATGTATACTGCAGATTATTGTATGAACACATACCAAACTTCTGTTTACCGTAAACATAGTGTACAGTATTAATTTTTAGCTTAAATTCATTTATTTTGAAATTGTTGACAAAATGTATGTATTAATTTAATCATTGCTAGGCTATATTTTTATATCTCTCAACTAATACAATTAATTTACGAGAAGAACAATAAATCACAATGAATACTTTTACACACTAATTTAACTAATTCAGTTTCAAAATGTTGCTATAACATCTATATCTATACTTCTATACTATTATATAAAAATCTAATGGTGTCTGTATGTGTATTACTAATAGGTGCAAAAACTACTGAACCAACTGGGATTAAATTATACGAAAATATAGCTACCATACCAGGGACCATTATAGGACTATTCACATTTCGATACTGACCGTAGGCTTTGCCCCTTTGGCTTTAAAAATTCTGAGGTGAACATTTTAAAAGTAAATATTGATTGGTCTCCATATCTGCGATGAGAACACTAACAATGTTTGTTTACATTTGCTTTGACATTTAAATGTAAACAAGAAGAACTGCTAAACTGCATATTTCACAATTTTAGACAGCTGATACAAAGAAATTAAATATAATATTTTCCATAACTATGAGGTAGGTTTATTTTAATCTAACTTTTTATCATGGATTATTTATTCTCAAACTATGTCAATGATTATAAAAAAAAAAGATTCTATAACCGTTGCTGTATCAACTCAAGGCCCCACTCAAAGCGTCTAAGTTATGAAAATAATGTTATTGATATGTTTTCATGGAAACAGTATGAAAATTACAATGTATAGATGGTTTGTATGAATTTGGAGGCTACTTTAATTAAATTGAAACTGCTTAACATGCGTTAGATTAACTTAACATAACTTGCACATCACATTGTTTTTTATATGTATATTTAGGTAAATTAAGTTATTGTGTTTTGCTAAACCTATGCTTAAACTAAACTAAAGAATATCATCAATAACTAAATTGTACGTTGATTTTTGTTTTCTTAAATTTGTTGTATATATGTAACTATATTTAATTATCAAATGCTAATACAAAATACTCTTATTTTATCTTAACACAGCTTTCAGTTCACATTTACTTTATTTGATTCATTTATTATTTGTGTTTTGCCAAACCACTGATTAAACTAACCCAAGGAAAATATCATAAAACTAATCAGTACACAGTGCTCTTTTGTTTCTAAAAGCAATGAAATATCTGATACTATGTTTACTTAATGGTAATTGTGAAAATGTAAAGGCAATGGACGATGGAACTGATTAAAAGAACGAGTTTGTATATTAAGTTGTTTGTTGATATTTTTGTAGAGTAGAATCAGGAGATGCAATGAAACATATACTGTATTTGCTATTACATTTTTTAGTCTTTGATGCTTTGATAATCATATTAGTTTTGTCTGCTGTCTTTAATGCTAAATTATTTGTTTAAATTTTGTTATAGTACCTATAGATATAGTCTCTTTAATATTTAAAAAAAAAACAGTATTGATAAGGCACAGCAATATTTCTAAAGTTTATAACAGCTGACTTAGTTTTGCTAATGATTTATTGTGAGTGAAGAAACTGAAGATGGAAGGATTTGTGATTTAATATAAAGAAGAGTGAAATTTAAAAAAAAATGTTCATTAAAATTTAATAATTGGTATTTTTGCAACTTCAAAATTGAAATTTAAAATGGCAATAATAAATCAAAAGATATGTAAGATGAAGGTAAATCATGTAGGCCTATGTCAATGTTTTATTCGAAGATTTGGTAATGTTTTCTCACATCAGCCTACACAAGATTTAAAATTAATCAAAACCAAAATAGTGGTATCCCCTACTTACCAGATTTAAAAAAACGATATAACTTAAACGTTTCTATTAAGGCTATAAAAGTTGAATTTTGTTTCTAAAAGCGTTGGCGGATGTGTAACTATTATATGCAACAGATGTAAAGATTAAAATGTTTCTATTTTGTGTCCTCTTCCCGTTGCAAAGCACGGGTACAACAGCTAGTTATCTATAAACAAATGTTTGTTTACTTTAAAATAAGTAACGTGGAAGAAAATCAAATAAGAAATTCAAAGCTTAGAGGTAATGTAAAATAAAACTTATTACTGACGAATAAAATGGTTTAATACATAAACAAAGATTCCATTAAAATATTTACATAATCATAATACATTAGTTGGTTCTCTATGTGTTTTTGAACAGGATTAACTTATATAGTTTCTGTCGAAGTCCAGTGGAGCTTGGGTTTTGGTTTATTGTCCTCAATTTAGATTGGTGATGCAGCATAATTTTTAAATACAAGTATCCAATCATTTTTATTAGTTTAATTTCATGTGGAGTTTCTCCCAGTTGGACAACTTCAGTGTGACCTTGAAACATACTTCTGGCAAAGGTAGAGCATGCCATGTTGACAATACGGTCAACCATTCCACTCTTCGTAATGGTTTCATTCAAGTGGGAATACTATAAGTGGGGGGTACTATAAGACTTGACCTTTGAAACATAAATAGATTACTATTATACCGTATAATTAATTCACTAATTGTTCAAACGACGTGAAACTTAACATACGTCTTCGTTATATTATGGAGAATGCAATAGTAAAAATCGCAATAAATTCCATCAAGTAACAACAAAGTTATGTCAGTTTTTGTTCACGCAAACACGGTAGCTACATATGATTTGTAAGGCTACAGTGGCGCAGTTCACGGACTAGGGGTGGGGGGAGCGCTGTCAAGAGGCGGACCGCTACAGCACACACACTCATATGTGCAGCGCGCAATCCAGTTGTATTAATAGAGATCGATGGGTGAGCGTTCTCTCAGCCGTGCTCTATTTACACGCAGAACAGTGCTGTGGAGTGTGGAGTGAGGTGGTAAATCTGTGGGGAAGTCGCAGCTTCCTAGGTGAGCGTTCTCTCAGCCGTGCTCTATTTACACGCAGAACAGTGCTGTGGAGTGTGGAGTGAGGTGGTAAATCTGTGGGGAAGTCGCAGCTTCCTAGGTGAGCGTTCTCTCAGCCGTGCTCTATTTACACGCAGAACAGTGCTGTGGAGTGTGAGTGTGGTGGTAAATCTGTGGGGAAGTCGCAGCTTCCTAGGCGAGCGTTCTCTCAGCCGTGCTCTATTTACACGCAGAACAGTGCTGTGGAGTGTGAGTGTGGTGGTAAATCTGTGGGGAAGTCGCAGCTTCCTAGGTGAGCGTTCTCTCAGCCGTGCTCTATTTACACGCAGAACAGTGCTGTGGAGTGTGGAGTGAGGTGGTAAATCTGTGGGGAAGTCGCAGCTTCCTAGGTGAGCGTTCTCTCAGCCGTGCTCTATTTACACGCAGAACAGTGCTGTGGAGTGTGGAGTGTTCTGCAATACCACAACATCGTGGTTGTCACTGACACGGATGAGAGACAACACGTGACATTTTGTAATAGAAACTATCTATTCCAGCCATACAATAGGCATACTGTACTACACTCTATTCATAATACGGAGGAATTATTGATGCTGTACGAAAGATACCGAAGATACAGTATTTGTAATTCGAATGGTTTCTTTTTCCCTCTACAATTGAAACTCGTGATAGTTCAAAACTCTTGATAGTTCAAATATATTTGCTTGGCCGACAGATTTTATATTATCTATATTACAATCATTTAAAGTAATAATAAAAAAAAAAAAAAAAAAAACAGGCATATCGGTATTAAAATGGACACCTTTACACCTTTAGGGCTGGAAGCCAATACAAAAACTAAATTACATATTTTTTCTCAAAATACATAAGGCATTTATTTTTTATAAGGATAAGGATTTTTTTTGTACAAAAATAAAATGTAATGTTTAAAATGCTGGAGAATTTTTACTGTTTATCATCAACTAAAATATGAAATGATCAACGTGATACATACCATTTAATATCCATTCTAAAGAGAATCGGTAGAACTAGTTTAAGGAATAACGAAAATAAAAATTAAATTAATTAGAAATTCACTTTTGTACTATTAGCTAACATGATTCATATTTTTTAAAGTTTCCGCACTCATTCGCATGATTGACACAACAACAAGGTTTCAGGAAACTTTATAGCACGTAAATGCAGCTCTTTAGTCATGTCGGAATATTCTCAAGCGTTTGATTCATTATATCATAACTTGTTGTTAGCCAAACTGCACTATTTCAGATTTAATAACACAGCAGTATCATCTCCCCTGTCAAAAGAAAGGGAAACTCCCCAAGGAACATGCTTAGGACAAAACCTTCTACAATATATACACTGCTGACCTGACAAGAATCGCAAAAACGTGCAAATTACATTGATTATGCTGACGATTGCCAGATACATCTGCCCTGTGATAAAAAAACCGACGTTAAAGCCGTTGATGAAATTAATAATGAGCTAAATCCGTCTGGTCAAAGAGCCATGGATTGAAACTGAACAATGATAAATGTTAAGTTCTCCATTTTAAACGAAACACATATATTAAACACATATTAAACGAAATTAGGCAAGGCATGGTCAGTAAAATTAAAACAAGTGGGACAGCCGGCAATATATGCGAGAAACTAAAAACACTTGGAGCAATTCTCAATGAAGACCAGACGCTATCTGACCATGTAAACTTCATGTCGGCTGCGAGGTCTGGTCTATATTATATTGAAAGTGATTTTACTTGAGAACGCCGAAATAAAACTAGTAAGGGCCTTGGTATCGTCAGTTTTTGATTATTGTCTTCCAGAATAAGAAAAAATCATTACAAAAGGTGATCTAAATAAAATCCAACGACTAAAAAACGCATCACTTATATTTATTTATAATTGGACGAGAAGATATCACATAACTCAACTCCTTGCAGAAACCCAGAACGCTGAACAAGTTATGCAAATTAAAGATAATTGTATATACAGTACCTAACCTGCAGCCTGATACGAAAAGCTACAGAGCACGGCCATCCCATCCTGCTCTATTAGTGTTATTTGTGTGAGAAACTTCTCTCTCGCTGAGATGTCTCTGTCCGTAGCACAAGGCAAGACAAGTTGATGCACTTTCATAAAGTCAGGCATGATGTGGGGAGGCGCGCCTTCTCATACTTCGGCCCTACCATGTATAAAGCTCTCCCTGATCAAGTAATAAGGGTTTTGAAACTCTTTCAACACTTAAAAAACTATAGGAATATTTGTACAGTATCTAAAGGAAATGCATGTTTTCATAAATTGTTTATCTATTGTTATATAGTTTGTTTTTATGGGTAGTTTATTCGTTTTCCTGTAGCAGCAAACCTAGGTACTCCTTAAACCTAATGTTATTTAAAAGGGTTTAATTTAAAATCAACTGAGGCAGATGGAGATTCGCTTAGCTGGCAGGTTTGCTGTGGCGGGGGTATTTATTTATTTAACAGATTAAACATATGAATTATAATAACAATAGTTTGTACTTTAAATGTGGATTGATTTTCAATCATCTTATTTTCAATATCTCTTAATACTGTTAAGAATATTAGCCATTGTTTTGATTTGGTTTTGATAATGTATATTGGATGAATGAGTTACGGATAAGTGTAGTTACATGACTAGTTACTAGTTACATGACAGCTTTGTTTTGGCTTAGTCATACAAATCCTTTTGCCAAAATTACCTATTATAAGCCCATTGATCAATAACTAACTGGGATATGGTTTAACATTGTCTCAATCGTGGTTTATTGATACTCACAATAGTGGAATATACTATTTCCTCTTTCATTATACACATATCCATTGAAAATGTGTATGAACTTAGTTTTAGTTTTATACTATTTTAATAATCTTTATAGTAGCTTTGACTATTGATACAACTACACATTCCACCCCCATGTTAGAGTTGTCACCTGTTTTTAATCAAATTCGTCGTAGTTTATGTGAGCTACCGACATATTGCGCTGATCTAAATTACTCACTTCTGTAGAATACATGATGTTTTCTACCAATAAAAACTTATGTAACGACTTATTATTAGCTATAGCAACTGTTTTGATCCATCATACCAGTATCAAAATATAAGGTAGACAATATAAGTTTAGACACTAGCGCATTCTGTCACTGGCTCACACAGCAACATTCTTTTATAGTAAAAATGGCAACAGCTGATCCATACAGATGGGATATATAATTCTGTGTCTAATAGTAAACTATAGTAGTTAAGTGCTGATTAGTAATGTCGTTTAAAAAAAAGTATGCCATTTGGTTTAAGGAGATGTTTAGTGAAGCTAATTTAGTTTGTAAGATTGAAATATAGTTTTAGATTACTTATCTTAAATCCTTACACTTTCATAATGCTATTATGAAATAATTAAGGCAATTGGAGTACTATAAAGGCTAGTTTTACAATATTCTTTACGTTATAAGGGTATTGGCAGCAAAACCTACTTTCGATCTACCATTTTAAAGCGAAATATGTTAAATTTGGTCAACAAATCAAGCTTACCATAATTAAAACAATAAAAGTAAGGAACTCCAGAACTATTAAATGTTACAAAATTAAGATAACATTAGTTTGTACTACCTGCTTGACGAGCTGATCTTCGTCAGCTGATAAGGTCGGGTCTGACTCAAGGCCGTCGTCATCAGCAGCCACTATCGCCACCATCACCACTACAACAGCCACTAACCATCGGGCCACCATCCTCTTGTGTCGGTCCTGTCGCTCACTGACCATCCACCGGACACTCTCTATATTTATACTGCCAGGAAGGCACATTCGGTTTTTGCAGAAGCGTCGGTTAACTTCTTGAGCAGGTAATTGTGAGAGGCGCTCGACCGTGGTTCATCGCCCATCTTCACCATTGTCTGGACAATAGCTGCACTAGGATGCAGACTTTTTCAATTTTCAATGTGAAAGTTGTGGAATATTATTGTATTTTCTCTTACTTTGCCAGTCGTCTGAAGTGTGAAAGTATTGTCAATAATAATATATCCTTATTTATTATAGTTCCAGTTGGTTTTAAATGAGTTTATATAAAAATGTTTGGTTATAAAATAGCAGTAGGCCTAGAAATGTTTTTGTCGTAAACATGTTTTCCCGATGTTAATTGAAGGTCTATTAAGATTCTTAAATCAATTAAATGTTAATTTACAGATATTACGAGTAAATATACGATATTGAACTTTATAAGTGGTATACAGGAAACATTATGTACCCTATATGGTACTTTCCTGTTAAAGGGAACATTCATTATTATCGATGATTTTCTCTCTCGATATATCGATAGTTTTGTTTTTCTTTACAATCCATTAAAAATTGACAACTGATCTTGTTTAGGCTAAAATATAGTCTATTATATGGATTAAGAAATGAAACTGTTCTAAGCTATCTTAACATAACCAACCAAATTTGCTGTACCCTTTTTAAATTTATAAATTCCATTTGATAACAGAAACAGGAAGTGGAGAATATTAAACGGATTTTTAAATGTTACAGCAAGTTTGGTTGGTTTTGTTAGGTTAGTTTAGAACAGTTTCATTTCAATATTCTTTTAAAATTATTGTTTGTTGATACTGATTAATATTTATTTATCGTAGTTGTCAGATGATAGGTTTCAATTAGTTAATATCGATATATTGGGGAAAAAATCATCGATAATAATGAATGTTCCCTTTAACAGGAAAGTACCTATTAGCCTATTATATTGTGTATTTTATAAATTCGTACCAAATCCCTCAAGGGCTACTTGGCGAGTGGAGTTGATGAGCAATTCTGCATACTCTGCATTAGAATAACCATCTTTAGTTATTTTTGGGTTTCCAATCACAGAATAAATAAAACTTAAACATAAAGGAGATAATACTCTACCTAAATTGCAGATATAATGGCCTAATTCATAGCGTAATCAAGTCAAGAAATATATCAAAGACTAGCTGTTGTACCCGTGCTTTGCAACGGGAAGAGGACACAAAATAGAAACATTTTAATCTTTATATCAGTTGCATATAATAGTAACACATCCACCAACGCTTTTAGAAACAAAATTCAACTTTTATGGCCTTAATAGAAACGTTTAACTTATGAATTTTAAATCTGGTAAGTAGTGGACACAACCATTTCATCTCCCTTAATTACATATCTTTTTATTTATTACTTTATTGAGATTTTAAATTTAAATATTGAAGTTTCTACTAATTATTCAATTTAAATGAACATTTTTTTTCATTTCACTCTTCTTAAATCACAAATGATTCCATCTCCAGTTTCTTCACTCACAATAAATCATTAGCAAAACTAAGTAAGCTGTTATAACTTTAGAAATATTGCTGTGCCTTACCAATACAGTCTTTTGAAATATTAAAGAAACCATATCTATAGGTACTATAAAAAATGTTTAACAAATAATTTAGCATTAAAGACAGCAGACAAAACTAATATGATTTTCAAAGCATCAAGGACTAAAAAATGTAATAGCAAATACAGTATATGTTTCATTGCATCTCTGATTCTAGTCTACAAAAATATCAACAAACAACTTAATATACAAACCAGTTCTTTTAATCAGTTCCATCGTCCATTGCCTTTACATTTTCACACTTACCATTAAGTAAACATAGTAACAGATATTTCATTGATTTTAGAAACAAAATAACACCGTGTACTGCTTAGTTTTATGATATTTTCCTTGGTTTAATTTAATCAGTGGTGTGGCAAAACACAAATAATAAATTTATCAAATAAAGTAAATGTGAACTGAAAGCTATGTTAAGATAAAATAAGAGTATTTTGTATTACCATTTGATAAGTAATCATAGTTACACATATACAACAGATAAAAAAAAACAAATATCAACGACTTACAATTTAGTTATTGATGATATTCTTTAGTTTAATTTAAGCATAGGTTTAGCAAAAAACAATAACCTTATTTACCTAAATATACATATAAAAAAACAATGTGATGTGCAAGTTATGTTAAGTTAATATAACACATGTTAAGCAGTTAGAATTTATTTAAAGTTGCCTCCAAATTCATATAAAACATCTATAAATTGTAATTGTCATACTGTTTCCATGAAGTCATATCAATAACATTATTTTCATAACTTCGACGTTTTAAAAAATTCATAGCAGAGCCGGAGTTGATACAGCAACGGTTATAGAATATTTTTTTTCTATAACCATTGACATAGTTTTTGAATAAATAATCCATGATAAAAGGTTAGATTAAAATAAACCTACCTTATAGTTATGGAAAATATTATATTTAATTTCTTTGTATCAGCTGTCTGAAATTGTGAAATATGCAGTTTAGCAGTTCTTCTTGTTTACATTTAAATAACAAAGCAAATGTAAACAAACATTGTTAGTGTTCTCATCGCAGCCATGGAGACCAATCAATATTTACTTTTAAAATCTTCACCTCAGAACTTTTAAAGCCAAAGGGGCAAAGCCTACGGTCAGTATCGAAATGTGAATAGTCCTGTAATGGTCCTTGGTATGGTAACTATATTTTTGTAAACTTTTAGCCCAGTTGGTTCAGTATTTTTCGCACCTATTAGTAACACACATACAGACAGACACCATTAGATTTTTATATAATAGTATAGATTACTGTTATATCATGTACACAAATTGGAATCGAAGGGGATTTGAGTCTAAAATGTTGATTTATATCATATAATGGTTTTATCGAATAATAAAACTAGGTTTACAATACAATTCTTTAATTTATATTATTTTTAAACAAGAGCTTAAAAACAATAAATTAATAAAACAATTTTGTATTGAAATACCAGTAATATGGGGTTAGGGCATGTAATTGTAGGTAGTCAATAATAATTTGCTTAACATAAAGTTTTTCTTGCCCACAGAATGATGATAAAACTGTTTCGCTGTAGTTTACTCCTGATAACTCTATTTTTAAAGTCGTATCTAATTAGGAGAGTAAATAAAAACTGATTTGATAAGTTTCTTCAATGCAGCCGATAGCCTCTGATCGCAGCATGAGTTATTGATCTCATGCTGAACACAATTCTGGTTATTGTAGGCCTACACTCAGACAGCTCCCGAGGGATATGATTTAGGTATCAATGAGTAAGCAGACAGTATCATTCAGTATTATTCGGTATTATTTAGTAAGCAGCTATCATTCGGATAGTCTCTGAAAAAATAGTAAAAAACAACTGTTTGTAAATGATTTTTATAAAATTGAAATTTCAAACATTGTGTCAACTGGTATTGGATGTAATTAAAATAATATGAAATATGCGATTTATATGTGGTGACCAGATGTTAACAGACAATATTAATGTGGCAATCACAATTTGTATCGTATTAAGAGGTACATTGATGTCCATTCTGCAGACATATTGATCCCCGAAAAGTCGGAAATGACATTCATTAAGCAATATTGTTTGTAATTTATATAATCATACCAAGAATCTTGCTTTATACAATAAATAAATACCCCTTATAAATATCTCTTTATAAAAGTAAACCTCCTGCTTTCTGCAGAAGCATGATTAATTAGACACTGAAAGAAAAAGCTGAGGTGCATTCAGTGAAGGCTAAGTTAAAGGAGGCCGTGTTTAGTGTTGTTTTAGTGGTTTGATGGGATACTGAGGTGGCTCGGTACAAGTATTGTTTTAACACGAGCGAATGTGTTGTTTGAGGAAAACGAAAAATGTCGAATCAGTTATGACAGCATTTATACAGATATTTATTTAATACTATTTAGTTAATAATGATAGTCGTAAAGACCATGATGACTGGCCTTATGCAGGGCCTCCAGATGATGGTGCTTGGCAGCAGCGACCTCGTGAGTGTCTGCCAGGTATCCGGACTTGAGCACCACGGGCTTGGCGAGGGGTCCGTGGTAAGGCGCCACATGATGGGAGTGTCCATGGTCGGCACCGTAGTCTGAGGCGTATCTGCCACTGTAATGGTCACCGTAGCCTCCGTGAGCCTTGGCCTTGGCTACGGCGGCGAAATGCTCAGCCTTAGCAGCGGCCACCTCGTGAGTGTCTGCGATGTGTCCGTCATGCAGGACGTGTGGGATGGCGGTGGGACCGTGGTACCTGATGTCTCCATGATGGCCGTCATAAGAGCCACTGTATTCCTGGCTGTTACCGTATCCATAGTCTCCTCCGTAGTGAGATTCCTTGGCTAGAGCGGTGAGATGAGCGTTCTTGGCTGCTGCTACCTCATGGGTGTCTGCCAGGTAGCCGTTGTGGAGGACGACAGGCCTGGCGATGGGTCCGTGGTAGTAGCTGCAGTACACACTGCTGGTGTACAGGACAGCGAATACCAGAGAGGTCTGGAAGTAAAACAGTAGCTATTCGTTACATAGTCCATAATTATCAGTGTCCATAATTAAGTATGGTTTATCCGTAGTACAGTTTGGTTTGAGTTTGTCAATACATGCTGCAATCAAGCTATTTACGAGTTTAAAACGGAAAGAAATAACACATTTAATCACTCAGTTACCAAACTGGAAAAAAGTATGATTAAGATGTTTGTATACAGGGTTAATCAGACCAACCCTTGCACATACTTTAACGAGATATACAGCCACTTGTGTAGCTCCCTGACTCACTGATCAGTTAAATGTTTACCCACTCTTAGAATAGCTAGGGGTCTGAATTTTGTTGTGGAGGTACATATCGGTTCCAAACCATCCAGAAAATCCAAAAAGTTACATTTTCAAATTACAACCCTCCCCCCAACAAAATTCTCTTAAACCCCCTTTTTATTTTAAGAAAAAAATATTGTTTTTACACTCATGTAAAACTATAAGATTAAGATAATCCTATGTGTAATCTATGTAATAGAGTGTAATCTATCATTTTACGCGAAAGACAAAAATACACTTTTTTTGCAGCTGAAACAGAGTAAAAAATCTTTGGTACCGTACATTTTGGCAACAGCGTTATCAAGATAAATCCTGCATAGTACAGTGTTATACTCACCAGGGCGTTCATGTTGCATTCAATGCTGTGGTGTGTGAGGATGATACGTCTGGGTCATGTATATATACTGTACCACATCGTGAGCCAATATCCTGTGGCTCAATACCCAGCAATGCGGACTATGTTTTAATTATACTGTTGTAATAAAGGTTCACTAGCATTCCAACAAGATGAACCAGAGTTGCATTTTTTCCCTTGCCCTGACTAACGTTTAAAAACCCATATTATTTCAAACCCTATACTGATTAACTTTAGATTAGGGTAATACAACGCCACTAAACCCAGTGGCATATTTTAAGGTTAACGAGTATTGTAGGATGACTGCTAAATGAAGGAGATGATAGCTTTGTTGCTGGCTAATATTATGTGTTTTTTTACCTGGACCATAATTTATTAACAGTTCGAAGATTAATCACATCTACACCTAGTTTCACCCAAGATGTCCTTATTAAAACAATTTTACGGGATCTGGTGAAACATCTAGCTATTACTAAAAAGATCTAAAGTATTAAACAAAATAAAATTCACAGAACATTATATTTATAGTTAAATAACTAAATAATAACATTAGGTTCACGTTAGTGGTAGGATGATTTACGCTGATAAGCATTTCACGGTTAGAGTTACCCGTATTTGTATTAAAAAGCTAAAAATACATTCACTCAAGGAAAAGATTTTAAGTTTAATTTGTTTGAGAGGTTAAAAAATAAAAACATACATATGCATGTTTTTTAACAGATTTTAGTTTTTATTGTAGACAATGATGTGATAAGATACAGTCTAAATTATGTAGTAAATGAACAAAATGGTTAATTGTTATTATGCTCACGTACTGTTGCTATCTATACAACATTTTGTTCATAACACTGTCATTTATAGTAATTAAAAATCGCTGTAAATAAACACGCATCACTGACACAGTAAAATATACCATTGATACAAATCATAATCGATTTCAATAATGTGATTTTAGTATCACATTGAGAGTGAAATAGGTGTTTGTTAGTATTTACATATTTTATTAATATACCTAACGTAAGCTTACATAGGCTACTGTAATAAATTATAGAATGTGTAGCTTTCCCTCCAAACTTATCTTCGGGATGTATGTGGGAAAAATCTTTGTATTTTGATTTCGCCATAAGCTTACTTTCATGTACGTGCTTAGTCAAACTAATGCTACTAAACTCAATTTGATTAATCTCGTACATGTTAGTAAAGTTTGGTTGTGACAATTTTTAATTTTATGTCGAAGGAAGAGTAACGGAAATATAAATTTTATGTTGAACAAGCTAGTAAACTATTTTAATTTATATCACATAAATACAGTCTTATATTTGCTAAGTAGCTTAGAGAATATAAATAAATAAATAAATAAACAAACAAATACATATATATATATATATATATATATATATATATATATATAACAAGTTGAGACTAACGCCTCCGCCTGTTGAGGGGGATAAGCAGGTTGCGACGTAGAGGCTGAGGAACAAAGTAAGGGTACATCCCAGTAGAGTCCCCTGCTGTTGCAGGATCCATGCTGCGGTGCTTGATGTCGTGACCTCCATGGATGATCTCATACGTGGTCTTCTCACCACCTCCACCACCGCCCTTCCCCATGGACATCATACCGGTCATCATCAGAGACAGCAGCGACATCATCAGGGCCTTGCCGGCCATCATCGCTATGGCTGACATCGCTAGAGCCATCATTGACCCACCGGACATCAATCCAGCCATCATCATGTGCGAGCCAAATCGCTTCCTTCGTCCTATAAAACAATGATGATACATGAAGATTATTTAAAAGTAACAAAAATTTACCGACTGTTTATACCATATGTATTGTGTTGTATATATTCCCTTCCTGTGTTTAAGTTTTAGAATTTTAAATTGTGTTTTAATTTGGCCAACAACAGAGAAGCATTTGCATTGCAATACTTTTAACTACTTCAACATACTTTTAACTAGTGATGTGAAATCGAAAGATAGCTTATTGTGAAATGAGTATTATTTTTCATATTCCCATCAATCAACCGTTTAGGATCTCGTTTTATAGAAGAAGTATAGCTTATTTGGCTACATATATTTAGCTTATTGTCAGTGTTACATCTTATGTATTGTGTATTTATTGTTATCTATATTAATTTAGTACGAGTGTAATATAGTGTAATCGTGTAGGAAAAAGTATTATATATCTTTATGATAGCATTATCACTTAAAATGCTATCAAAAAGATATTTATCTTATCTGAAATTTAACTTTGCTTCAAACAATACACCTGACTGAGTAAATTTTAAAATATTAATGGAAGTTTGATTTTGCAAAAAAATATCAATTTTATAAGCTACCTGATTTTCATAACTACTGATTGACTAAATGAACTATACTCAAAGCAATATAACTGGCGGGTGAAGGTAATGTTTTTAAATAGGCTAGCTGGTATTAATCAACCGCCAGTTCTATTTGAGTTGCCTGTAGTCCTCCCGTGGCAAGAAGCATATTTAGTACGAGCTATGTTCACTTAGACAACTGGAGAGAAAATTGGACGATTGGTGTCTTGTGTCACATTGTACCATTAAGAAACAAATATTGGATTATCTATTAAATCAACCCTATGTACATCTATTTAGTTGGGTCCAGCCACTTTGAAACAAACATCGTTGAGTGCTGAGCTTGGTCTTAGCCCAGTCTTAACCTGGTGCCAATAAATTCAAGATGTAGGTGGATCATTGATGTTGATTCATAGGTGTGGTTGATTAACAAACCTCTATGTAGTTACCTGTGACTGAGTTGTTGTCTGGCGCTAGTGTGAAGACCTCGCACATCTCTCTGATCCTCTTGAGCACCCCGCCGTCTAGCACTCGGACTGTGAGACTCAGCGAGCTGAGGTAGCGGGTGAGAGACCTCGTCAGCACCTCCTCGTCCAGCTGACCACTGGTGACGTCACGAGACAGGTCCTGTAGTGACGTCATGTCACCGGTCACCGTCAGCCCAGGGAGGAGCTCCACCTGGGGGCGACGAGACAGACGCTCCACCCCGCGGAACATGGACAGCTTCAGACAAGACAACAGCTGCTTGGCCGCGCACTGCTCTTGCAAACTCTGGTCATAGTTGAATAAGAATTTATTTCAGCTGACTTAATTCAATTAGGAACAGGGTTAGGAAAGTGTATGGATAGCCCAGTTATAGGTAGAGTTACTTTAGGTACTAACACATCACAGTTACAACTTAGTTAACGTTGGTGTTTCGCCTTTCTTACAGTCACAGTCATATTCAATTTAATTATATTTTCATAAAATGTGTAATGTTTCACTATGTATCCCAAAAATTAATTACTATACGTGTACATCAATTTTGTCGAAAATACTCTCTCTGGGACCTAAATGTTTCTTTGAGCTATGCAAGATTTAACACATTTGAGTGAAATATTTTTTGAACAAACCATCTATATATTTTATTACGTAAGACAATAATTTGTGTAAAAATTGTGGGTATCTGGTAAGTCGTAGAAACGTGGGAGAGGGCTCAAATTAAAAATCTTTGTTCCATGACAGCGGGAAATATAGTAGAATTTTTTTCTAATCAACTGTGACAAAAAATTGTATATAAAGCGAACAGCTGACTTTTGTTTACTTCATTAGAGGTGATTGTGAAATTTCTCTAAGCTAGTACAAAATATTAACATTTGGATTGGATTACTTATTTATTTGGCAGTCAACTATGCAATGTATACATACTATAATAAATCAGGGATAACGTTGTAGAAGCATTTTCGTTACTTCTCTGTGTTCTCTGTGGTTTATAATTTTGAAATTAATATTTTATAGTTCAAGGTGATTTTGAATGTAAATTGTTAAGTTTTATTTTTGAATAATTTTGTATTTACATTTCAAGGGTAGTCTAGTTTTTAACGTATATGCTTATTAAATGTGTTCTGGATAAATCTTTTCTCTTCAAGGAATTCGTATACTATAGACACAGAGGAAGCTCACAAAGGTAAGGAATCGTTCACTGGAATGTCAGTGTGAGAAAACGTACAAAAGCAGTCCATGTAAAAGTAGATGGAAATATATTGTAACCACTATTGAGAAGTCTAATAATATACATTATAGATGAGATACGTATAAACCACATAATAGGGGGAGAATGGACGACAGCAGTGCATACAATACAGGCGTCTCTATTCGAGAAGAAATGCTTATAATCATTTTCACATCACCTTGTCATGACGTATCTAGGTCTACATGTTTTGAGCCAAGAAATAACTAAACCCATGGTTTGAATGGAGCTCAAAAATTTTTCAAAACATAAGTCAACATAACAGTGCAATGATTTTGCTTCTTTTCAGGCAATCATGAATATCGACCCTATTGTTTAACAACTCATTTATTTATTCATTTGAAAGTACAAACATGTCAAATATCACTTGAAATAACATATTTACACTTACTGTTTACTCATAAGACGGTAAATACATATAAAAGATGGTAATGATTTAATAAATGGAGGAGTGTCCAAACTAAAACGATCACCACTCACAATCTTTGTACAATGTATTTACCTTCTAGTGAGTAAATAGTTTGTAAATATATCATTACAAGTGTTAATTTTGACGTATTTTTGTACTTTCATGTAATGTACACGTACGATGCTGATCAAGAAGTTATGAATTTAACTGTAACAACCAATCCAGTGAATAGATTTATGAGTAATATGGTATATTTGTGCAAGAGCAAGATGGCAATACAATGAGATCAATGTCGGGGGTTATAATCCAATCTCTGATTAGCTACGACTGACTAAAGGATGAAGACCTTTCCTATTGACCCTTAAAATGTAATCGAAATCTGCCAAATGCACAATGAATAATAATTTTAAACGTAAGATATAGTTAAGACTTGCCAAAGTTTTATAAAAAATTCCCTAACCCCCCCTCCCCCAAGTTGTTATGAGCTTCAGAAGAAACGGTTGTGCACGACTGATATAATAAATCGAAGCTTAGATTCGTAGATTACATTAATATGGGTTTTCGTGGATACAACTAACTGTAGATAAAATCGCCGGCGTCTTTAATTAAACCGAAGGTTAACCTCCAGCACCTTGATATAGGCCTACCTATAACATTGTTCACCAAAAAGACAAGGTGATTCAAAACTACCTAAGCTTAACTCTACTTCCGGATCGGACTAGCTTATTCTAATACAGAAAAGCCACTCAAAGACAAATTGTATATTGATTTAGCCATGTTCTCACTCGGGAAGAAATCATATACTGTAATTTAAAATAACAATCAAAGAAAATGTACTTACACTAACAAATATTTACAGGGATATTGTGACACATAATTTATTTATCCTTGATTCTATGATTTATGATATCAAAAAGTCTATTTTAAATTTGGTTCTTAAGGGGCTTCGGCCGTGTCATAGTCATGCGTTATTTGCGCTGTACGTTGTTTACATATCATCAGCTTTTAGCCTGTTATTGTACATCATCTCACGTTTGGAAATCGTCTTTAGTAGCCTACTTCATTGAATATACCATTCCATCATATCAATACCAATTCGGCTGATCTGTTGGATAAGGCGAATTTAATTACTTTTTACCAGTATCCACTGTTTTAGTTTAATCATTGAACATCGATTGATATATAGACTACTAAATCAATGGATACCCGCCTGAAATTTAATTTCAAGGCCTTTAGTTAGCCTTAAAACTGTCGGATGTTGGGTTTACGACGGTTATGTGTATAATAGATTTGCCTACATATCTGTAAAAATACAAACTTGCGATATGCAAACTAATTGCTGCTCTGAATATAATAAGGTTTCAACTGACTACGAGATCCCCGTCTGTAGAACGTAGAACATTAATGAGATTAATTAAGATGCAGAACATTAATGAGGATCAAGAACTTTTGAGAAAATCATAAGCCACACATCTATCAACCGCATGAATTTTTTTAGTTTACCTTTTCCCTGAGTTAATCTTTTCATTGTGCCAACACTTAAACGCAAACTACATAAGATATTTTCATTAAAATAAGCAATAAGTATGATAATTATTTACCTGAAATATCCATGGTAAGTGTGTGAAATTGTTTTTTACAGTAGATTTAGAGACCCACATTGTTCTCTTAATATTCTCTCCCCTTTGCGGAGTGTGGTGAGAACAACTAGTATATTATTTTATATACAGGGTTGGGGCAAATGTGTGGATACCCCTAGTTAACTTTTAATGGGGCTTTACATTTAAAATTGTTGAGCTTCCCCCAAAATACTCCATTTTGGGGTCCCGGGAAAAATTGGGATGCCGTCCAAAAAGTGCAGTTTTATTTTTTATGAAGGTATGTGGAGTTTAGTTTTCCTGGTGTCACCCATTAAAAGTTAACTAGGGTTATCCACACATTTGCCCAACCCTGTATACCACATTATGGGATTATTTTATAAAAATATCAATATAATATTTTTTCAATAAAACTCTTGGTCTATACGTGTAACAAATTGTAAAATTTAATTATCTTCCAATAAGTCTATACAATAGTATTACTATTAATTAAAAGGGGAGATGCATGTTTCTTTTTTTTAGAAATAAAATTATGTTCACCTATAAAGTCAATTATAAGAGGAAAATCAATCCAGAGTGATGGAAGACTAGTCAATCCAAGAGTCTATATTGTTATGTGTGCTGTACATGGAGCCGGTGGCATAGTCTGAGTCATAATTTTGGGCTCAACTACCTCTGTACATAGCTTGAAGGTGAAGAAAAAGAGTCCTTAATCCGGGGCGAATTTCATTCTGCTTTCGTATAAGATACGATAAAAATGACAAAAACTGCACACAAAATCAAACATACCTTCATATCCAGGAGGGTGTTATCAGTGCCCAGACCGTTGTCCTCATGAACTACCGCAGGCTCCTCTGTCGCCGCCGGCGCCGCCCCCAGTAACACTACCAGTAGCGCCGCCACCACAGCAGCTCCTGACATCTTCACCCTCATCTCTGGTCGGTGCTACTGCTACTGTATCCGAGAGCCAGGTAGCTCTACTTTATAGTAGATCTCGGTTTTCGGACGTTTAGCGATAATACGCCACATTACGTGACGCACGTCGGGTCACCTTGTACGCCATCTGTGTCGCTATGTCGCACTTTCTGCCGCCGCAGATGTCCTGCTACGACTCGTTAAACTATTATGGTGAATTGTCCTTGGCGTTGTGCCGCGAGTTACTTTCGCCCGCGAATTATTAAATCGTAGCTATTGTAGTTTTCGAGTCCCGTTTCTCCCTAACACAGCTGGTGATAATTTGCGTGGTGCCAATTGTTGCTTAATTTCTTCAAAAGTTTCTCTTTTACTATACGTTCCACGGACTAAGGATACAAAGTTGCAAGATACAATACAGTAATTTAGCCAAAGTATGCATTTGAATTATGGATTGTCTGACCTATACGGCAATTATTGGCTCCATACAAATATTATATATATAAATAAACATATTTTCATTTTATGCATGTAAAAATATAGTATTAGTTTAAGAGTTCTAATTTCTTCCCTTATTTTCCTGTAGAAGGAGGAAAAACAGCTATGTAACCTGAGTGAGGCTGGCTAATTTACAGAATAAAGAGCAAACGCAATAACCTGTATTTCAATAATTATTATTGTTTGCCATGCGTTGCATCGATATTATTCACGAATATGATTTGATCTTTTTCGTGAACTACTGTATTCGCAGTATTGGAAGCCTCAGTGTACAATATTTGTAACAAACGATGAAGTAGATGATGAACGCCTCATTATTTTATAGTACTTATTTTATAATCAGTTTTCACAACGTAAACAACTAACTATAACATAATGCGTGGACAAAACATTTGAACTACCTATTGAGTAGTTATTTAGTTTAAAGAACTGAAATATATGTACCATATGTTTCAATTATTAGTATAATAATCCAAATTGTAAAAAGAAATAATATATTTCATTAAAGTGTCTAGTATTGCAATAAACTAATGAAAATATATGATGAAATAAACATATCTGTTAGTCTTGTACGAATACACTAAACATATGTATTTTTTACTGCGTTATCAGTCGGATAACCACAGTCTAATTTACGGAAGATGTAATGGTGTATCTAGGGTTAACAAGCTATCAAACTTTTTACAGACAGTGCTAATGTCCACAGATGTCTGGTTTTTATCATATCAATTGAATTGTCACTCAATTATCAAGACCTTTAACATTTTTATAACCTTTAGGATTATTTATTCTAAAACCTACTATTGGACATTTTGTATTATTGGAAAAAAATGTTTTGTTATATTTTAAAATATACAGTACTAGCTATTGTACCCGTGCTTTGCAAAAAAAAGAGGACAAGAAATAGAAATATTTTGAACTGGACATGTTCTATAAAATAGTTGCACATCCGCCAAAGCTTTTAGAAACAAAATTCAACGTTTATGGCCTTTATAGAAACATTTATGGCTTTTTAATCTGGTAAGTTGTGGAAACCCCTATTTTGGTTTTGATTAATTTTAAATCTTGTTTAGGCTGGTATGTGGAAATCTTAGAAAGTTTTCAAATAACATTTTCACACACACGATTTACCTTCAACTCCCTTATTTACATATCTTTTTCTTTATTTTTGCAATTTTAAATTTCTATCTTGAAGTTGCAAAACTACAAATTATTAAATTTAAATGACTACTTTTGTTCAATCTTCTTTAAATTAAATCACAAATCCTTCAATCTTCACTCACAATAAATCATTAGCAACACCAAAATCAGCCGTTATACACTTTAGAAATATTGTTGTGCCTTATCAATAGTCTTTTAAAATATTAAAGAAACGATATCTATACTATAAAAAAGTTGTAAATAATTAATTTAGCATTAAACGGCAGACAAAACTAATATGATTATGAAAACATCAAGGATAAAAAAATGAGTTTCAATTCAAAAAGTAAACAGTATATTGGACAAAGTGTAATCTTATCACCATATAAAATCAAACGCATATACATACGTTTTGCATAAATATTGTAGAGTCAAAATATCTTATTGTTAAAATTTGTGTCAAATTTGTCACAATTTTCAATTCTTGATATACCAATGGGTATGTATTTGCTTCGATTTGTCTGTATACATAAATAATACTATCTTACAAATTTGTATAGACCCTTAATAAATACAGGAACTGGATACGACGATATCTTATAAGGAATGAGTAACACGATTGGAATAAGTAGGTATTTTGCTAATGGCTAATAGACTAAATTCAGGTCCAAGTTTCTCCATAGTAACAATTCAGCAGATCTTATTAATAACTCGCTAAAAACACCCCAGAATCTAAAGATCTGGGGTATTGGACCTTATTCAATAGCTGCATTGTCGAAAAAAATCTTCTGTAATGATCTGTTATATAATAAATCCGTATATATATTTAATATTGTTCTTTTAAGAAGAACGAGATATTTTCAAAGTTCCCCCAAACGTTATTTCAAACCGGCTCTTAAACGTTGAACTAGAACTGAAAATTATTATATATGTTGTAATTGATTTCATATTATAACATACGAAAACATACTGTTACTTTAACAGTCAAGCTTTATTAAGTTTATAAAAAGTGTTTTTTTTTCAAATTAAACATATACTAAGAAAAACCACAAAAGATCGAAATGGTTATAAAATTATAAAAATAGTTATACAATCATAGAACTCTTCTTAATGTCCAATATTAAGAAATACATAGTTAAGGAACTAAATTACAAACATAATTTTCATTACTTGACTTCATTGTGGCAGACAGCCTTGCAGCGGCCTTTATATGGTTGCCGTATCTATTACACACCCACTTCGCAACAATACTCTTTAACTCTAACTTTTTATGGGACTTAAATTTATCGATAATTAGGAAATTACTCCCCCTAGAACAGCCCTCTAAAAACCCGATTGAATTTCGCACATAACTGAAATCAAGTGCCGGATGAAAATGAGGTTTTACATCGGCATGATGGTAGGAGGGTAGTTGGAATTACTAAAACTTGCAGTGTACCTGTGTATACCACCTCCCTGTGAATGACCTCTTCTTATTTTTATCTTCATTAACAACACAATTTGATATAGCTTAGTACGATGTTTTCATCGTCCTAAGCTATATCAAATTGTTTAAATAATGAAGATAACACTTTTTTGACAAAGTGCTGTAGGCCTATAATATGCGTGTACGTCAAAACATTAAATTGTATGAAGTATTTCATGGCTTTCTAAAACGATCTGGAATATTCTAGGCTGTTTTATTGCTTTATGAATTAACTATGGAAGTGCGTGATAGTAATTGGTCTGGAATATGCTATATCAGAAATCAGAAATCAGAAACGTTTTATTGTCCTTCAACATTTACAACAAATGCAATAGACAAAAGTCAAGAAAATTCAGCTATTACATAAACAGCCTATTTTTAGGCAAAACAAAACAAGCCTAAAAACAAGTCAAAATAGGCTATACTAATACATATGCTTACAAATAAAAAATAATGTGGAAATGTGAGGACATTAAAAGTTAACTTCGTCAACCTTAAAATATTCTTCTAAGTCATAAAAAGGATTTAAAAGTAACCAATCCTGAGCTCTTTTTTTAAATGACTTAAGGTCCAATTCTTTGGCATTGATGCTAAGCTTATTAAATAATCTTAATGAAATAACATGGTAACTATTTTTACATTTACTTAACCTACAATAAGGCACGTCTAATAGGAACTGATTACGTGTGTTGTGTGAATGGATATTAAACCTATAAACATGGGAACTAGTATTTTTCTTAACCCTAAGTAAACACATAAATATGTACAGATTAATCACAGTCAATATTCTACTTCTTATGAACAATGGCTTGCAATGCTCTTCAATTGGAGCTTTGTTTATTATTCTAACTACCTTCTTTTGGAGTATTAACACTTCACTTATGTGACTACTGTTTCCCCAAAGAATCAAGCCGTAGCTAATTATGGATTGGAAAAATGCAAAGTAGGCTACCCTTATGTAGGTTTCAGGTACAACACCCATAAGATTTCTAAGCAAACAGATTACTCTGGACAATCTTGCACAAACCAAATCTATCTGAGGAGACCAGCTTAAACATTTATCAATTTTTATTCCTAAAACTGTAATTACATTTTCATTGTTTACATCTTGTGACTCTACTGGAATGTTTTTAAGACTACACAATAGGTTTTGAGTTTTATTCTTATTAAGACAAAGGCTATTAGCATTAAACCACATATAAGCTGAATCAGTTGTGAGCTCAGTTACTGACATGAGATCATAAAAGTTGGGATGAACACTCAAAAAATTGGTGTCGTCCGCAAACATGATGGTAGAGGATCTTTTAATATTGGCTGGTAGGTCATTGATGACTGTGATAAAAAGAAGGGGGCCTATAATCGAGCCTTGTGGCACACCTGAGCTAACTTTCAAGCAGCTTGACACCTTGCCTCCTGCATCAACGAATTGAGTTCTCTCTCTCAGGTATGAATCAAAAAACTTAAGCTGTATACCGCGGATAGAAAAATAGAATAAATAAATAGAATAATAAATAGATATAGAAAAATTATTCCATATTTTTGTAAATTTTACTAAAATTATAGACACAAGCCCTTACAGAAGTGTACATAATTCAGGGGTGTTTTTTAATTTAATATAGAAGTAGGTTTTGGATAGTATAAAATATTCCTCCCACTAATAATTTTATAATTCCCATTGTACTTTGACACGGGTATCGCGAGGTTCACTGCTAGTCTTTAAAAACGTTGTCAATAAATTATAGAGAATGTTATATTATTTTATAAAACAATAACTTACAGCCTATACCATGTATATATTTATATTTTTTGCGTGAAAATTCAATATAAGCTGATTGCATACTTTGTAGTAAACCTACTAGTTGAACTATGGATCAAGATACATGAACTCGTACCTCGTACTGAATGCTTGTACGTAAATTAAACTTTCATTGTGTGCAAGAGATTTAATTGAATTTGTAATGTTTTCTCTTATTTTAACCAAGTTATGTGATAACTGGTGTATCACTAATTATAAATTACAATATTATTAATTATATTACAAATCGTCCCCATCATTATTATCAATATCATCAAATTACTTTCTGAAAGTATCAAACTTACTAATTTAATAATAAATATATTATTTTCACTAAAATCTTACAAGAATCAAAAGAAGTTAGAGAAGTAAGTTACATAACCATATCTTAATCTTAAATCCACAAAAAAATTAATTTTTAAATTTTAGGAAGCATCAAAACAAACTAAACAAATGGCACTAACGACATTTTACAACAAACGGTGTATTATTTTTAGGACAGTACCTATATAACACTGTAACAAATAAGGAAATACACGTGAAAGTTCAAGTACATTAAATAAACAACGTACAATGAGCAAATATCATTATATAGGATTAACACAGAAAGCCCCTGGGGCGAAGCAGTCAACACACGCTGAGCTAAGTAAGGTTAAATAACATACAATGTTAAAATGACAAAACCCTTCAAAATTTGTTAAGCCATCGGGCGTGTTCTAATCAATCAATAGAAACCTAAAGCAATAGTTTTACCATTTGGGCGTACCTTTTCGACCCGAGCTCAAGTTTACGATCGATGCAATGCCGATGTTGGAAAATTAGTGAGGGATGAAAAGAAACTTTTTGCCCATGCAATGAGTATACTTTCGTTATATTATTGCACCATTAGAAACACTAAGTCACATAACAAAACGATTTTTATGTAAAGATAGCCTCTCAAACGACTTCCGGCTTGTTTTCAATTTTGCTAACAAAAACTAGCTATTTTTTAAGTGGTTCAATTATTTACAGTATTCGATTTCGATTACGTAAGTGTAACTATACCATCGACATGTTGACTTATTAAAAAGAAGGCAACAATAATCTCTAACTGATAAACAAACAATATATACTTTCAATAATGCGATTGCTTACAATATAATTCAACTTTTACTCCCTAAGGACTAAAAACTTATTTTCTTTATACTGTCCACAAAACAGGAGTTTTTAGTTCCCCAAATCGTCCGCAAAATCATCGTTGTCGGCTAACTTCAAATAAGGGACAGAAAAAAACATAAGGTAAATTTTTCTGTTAATTTTTTGGTTCAACCTTAACATTTGTTTATAAAGCATTATAAATAGTGTTTAATACGAGTATTTGAAACCCTTATTATGAAGACGCTGCTTATGGCACAATATTTAAGTTATGAATGGAACTAACAGAAATGTAAATACTGATGAAGAGATTCTATTACCTCAAATTATGTGATCTAATTTTGCAACGATTAGAAGGCTATTTCCACAGTATGATGAAAATAGTTGTTCATCGCACTTATAGAACGTGTCTTATTGGTACTTAATTGTATTTCCAAGTGAGGCACCACAAAGAGCCACTATCTCTCCCACTGAAATATACTATTTACTACCTATGGAGAAAAGGGGGCCTTAGACCCACAACGCACGTATTAAAACCAACAGCTTTGCTGCCATATGACCAAAGTATATTCTTAATTTTTCACAATGTTACTGAAGTGAATAAGATCAAATAAATTGAGATTAAGGGAAGTTGTAAATAAAAAAATAAAATAATTTAATTCAAAACCCCACATACAAATTAATGATGTCTATAAATAGAACTTTAATAATGGGTTTCCTGCTCATTTTGTTGTTCCACCATTTCCCCCTGACTAATCGGAATGAAATGAGACCCAGAGATATGTTTATCATATATTTACATATATCATCATACTGTACTAATATTATAAATGTGAAAGTCTGTGTATTTTTTGTTTGTTTGAAGTTTAATCACACGCTAACTACTGGTCGGATTGGTTTGAAATTTAGTATGATGATTGCTCACATTTCCGATTGACATATAACATATTCTTACCTTAAAATTCTTTCGGGATCTGCCCCAGTGGCTCTATAGTTTCCCATGTTAACCTTATGAGCAGTAAAAGGAATTAAACAATTTTGTCAGCTGTTTCAACTGCTAAGTTGGTTTTATCTTTGACTATTTCAATAGTCAATGGTTTATGATATTCAAAAGCATTAAAAAGTTATGAGGGTGACCAACAGGGTCACTATATTATTTTTTTAAGATTTGTTATAAGTTCAAATCTAACGACCAAGTGTCAAAAAATACTTTTAATCCATCACAATACACCTAAAAGAATAATAATTATAAATATTACTTTAAAATATAGCTAATTTCCTCGACAATATAGTTTTTTGATGTAGGAATAAGACAACCATTTCACAAACTATTTCTGTTGGAATGCTGTTTTAAAATGCTGATATAAGAAACTTTTTATCTGTGATTACTGGTAAAGCTAATGTTGTTAAAAATCATAAATATGGATGTTTTTATATTGTTAACTTTCTCAACAAATTAAACGCCAACTAACAATGCACGGTCCTCTGGTACTTTAAATAATACAGTACTTAAAAATATATTTTTGAAATTTATATTAGTTAGAAATGTCACTCTATCTGTCCAAATACGAATCAAAAAATTTAATTATTTTAGTGATGAAATCTTTGTGTAGCTTGTAGATTGATAACAATGAACTTTTCAAATGGAAATTTTGGCAATATGCATTATATCTTACCAGTACTTATCTTCGTGTCGGAGGTCACAGAGGAGTACTAAGACTGATAAAGAGCACTATAAGTAGCTGCTGCTGCCGAGAGGTAGGCACTGTTCACCATGAAGGTCACAGCCCTGCTTCTGTGTGGATTGGCGCTCGCCTCCGCTGCCGCATACAACGGTAAGCACATTGAAAGATTAATTAGATAAAATACAAATCGAAACTATCAAAAGTAGTGTCGTTTCTAATTAATATGATTAGTCAAAAAGCTTCTCTGGCCAGCATGTTAAATATATTTCTTTTATTAATTGTACTGGGAGTAAGGAAACATTTGCATACATTTTTTTTGAAGGAATTAGTTTTCATATTTATATATTTATTCACACGGTAGATACCATTTTGGTAATACATACATTAATGGCAATTAACATGATGCATATTTGAATAAGAACGAACAGACAAAACACTGTTCTGCTATAAGAGTACACACATAGCTAATCGGATTCATCTTGTTTGACTATAAAAATGATTGCTGACTTAAGAAAATGTCAATAAATTTTACTGACAAATAGGGCTGGACTAATTTGGGGGATAACACCTAGTTGGAAGAGGCAAAAATCATATGTTAACGGTTTAATACATTGATCTCTTCCAGTTTTGCGATCCAAAACAATTTGTTGATAAACTTGACGTATGTTATAAATAATTAAGCAAATACGATATCTCAGTACAAGCAAGATAAATCGCAAATTCTAGGCAACCAAATTTTAGGCATTCGAGTTATATGAAGCTTTTGATTTTTCTAAATGAACAACCTATGAGTCATATTTAACATAAAACACATTTATTTTCAATTGAATAGATCTAAGGACTGATAGTTGATTTCACTATTTTACCTTTATATTGTACGTTTGATTTACTCTTATATAGGCCTAATATATTGTACTTTTTATATTGTTTTTAAATCTATTGCCGTACAATTCTTTCAAAGGTAATTTTGTAAAGGGCACTGCTTACTTATTTCTTACTTCAGTTTCATACCTGTGCGTCTGTAAATAAACACACATAATACAATTATTAACAAGATTTAATAATTACATAATAAGGTTATTCAAGTTTATACATGCAATAATTATTTTTAGTCATAACGGAAGCTACGTGAAAGTTTTAGCTTTCACCATTTTAACCACAACAAAATGATAAGATTTAATCAACTATTAAAGATTAATCTCAATCGATGAAAAGACGATGTAAAGATTATTGTTTATCATTCATATTTAAAAATTTGGGGATTCGCCCTCAAGCATCGACATTCATTATTTATCTGACGTATATTTCAAGCTATGCACAAAAGCAACCTCTTCCCTGTACATTTCTTATGGGAGTTAAATTAGGGTTTTCCTTTTAAGGTACTTTTGGCTCTTCTACCAGGATTATTTTCATAATTCCGGTCTTAAATTAAAGGTAAGCTAGCACAAATTTGTCATCAAGCATCATGCATTTATCTTCTTATTACTCGACCAAAAAAACACAAATTTTATTTTATTTTGAATTCTTATTTCAATTAAAGTTGTTTTTCACCAGTTCCAATTACATTATCCTATATGTTTTGGTCTAAGAACCTTCAGTGCAATACTAGTTTATACTCATTTGAGTTATTCGTTTTTAAGATGGGACATACCTGAGGCAAGCTGCTGTATAACGAATCAACAATAAATATAATATTTTAGGAATCTGCAATCAATGATACGCAACTTCATTTTTGTTTTAGATATTTTATATGACTTGATCTAAAAATACCACAAAACATAAAGGCTTTCGTTTGATATATTGATCAATTGAATCAGTATAGTTCAAGATATTGAATTATTCAATAAAAAACATAAATTTGATAATTTATTGTATGGAACTTTATATGAGATACATTTACTCAATTTCAATTACGTTATCCTATACGTTTTGATCTATGAACATTGAGTGAATACCAACTTTCATTTTAGTTAAACGTACCTAAAGTACGCTGCTAAATCACGAAGAACCCAAATTGTTCTAAAAATAGAGTTATTTGTTATGGATTGATAGTTAAATTATTTTGCTCTAAACCTAAAAAGTAACCGCTAATTTTAACGGTTCTCATTTAGTTCATTATTAATTTTCAATGTTGATTCTTTTTTAAGGGCGACAATTATTGCTATATTTAGATAATAATTTTATTTGCAACAAATTACTTTAATAATTAGGTATTTAGGTTTTACAGAATTAAATAACTTATCAAAACACAACAAAAAGAAGGTGTTATTTATAACTCAATGTTTCAGGCAACCAAAATGACGACCAAAAGCAACAGAACCTGTACAAGCTGTTCGTCAATGTTCAGCAGCCCAACTACAACCAGGAACAGCAGCAGATCGGCAACCACTTCAACTTCAACGCCCAGAACTTCAACGTAAGTGTAATGCTAAACTGTAATTCCAATTTTTTAATATTTTATTTTTATACATGAGCAAAGAATTTATTTGCTATTATTGTAGAAAATTCGTAACATGTACACGGTTATAGCTTTAAAAGTAAACATAGTTCATTAACGGCAATTGTGATACCTACATTTGATTATTTTGATACCATAAATTGGATAAAAATTTCAAAAAAATACTGTTTATATAAGAGGCAACTGCAATTGATTTTTATATATTATTTTTACTGATTTTTGTACTCCAATGAAAGAATGAGAATTAGAATGATTTATTTCTAGAAAGAATACAAAATGTAGGCTTCAAGGAAAAGTTAATGCATCAAAATGCTTAACACTTTAATACTTTTTAAGGGGAGTCCAACATAAAAACATGCATAGTTCATAGTTCACTTCTTACATTACTAACACAACTTGAGGTATTTAATTTTTCAGATAGTAAAAATAGTTTAACTTTTCATACGTAATTATTTGTTTAAGTTTAAAAATAATGGGTTAGCAAAATGTCTATTTACTTTTTACAGATAACAGAAATGATTCAAACTTATATACCTAACTAATTTTTGAAGTAAAAAAAAAAATGAGTGTAGCAAAATGCCATGTATGAAGAAATACCAAAAAATTAAAACAATTTTGAATGAGTGCACCTTAACCCAAAACACATATACTATTTTGAACATATATATTTACTTATATACATATTATTATATACAGCAAGCATAAACTAAGGACATTATATAGTATTCGGTTGTTTATAAAACAGCTCAGTGCAATATATCATTACTGATACTGATGTATGCCACTTGGTTTCAGAACGCCTACGCCGTAAAGCAGTTCCAGAATGCATACAAGCAGGGTCTGTTGCCCCGTGGACAAGTGTTCAACTACAACAACCCCAACCAGCTCCAACAGGCCATCCAGCTGTTCGACGTCTTCTACTTCGCCAAGGACTTCGACACCTTCTACCAGGCCGCTTGCTGGGCCCGTGACCGCGTCAACGAGGGACAGTTCGTCTACGCTCTGAGCGTCGCCATCGTCAAGCGTCAAGACACCCAGAACATTCCTCTGCCTCCTCAGTCCGAGGTCTACCCTAACTTGTTCGTCAACGCTCAGGCTATCCAGCAGGCCCAGAACAACAAGCAGCAAGGTCAGAAGCAAGCCACCGTCCAGTCTAACAACACCAACAACTACGTCCAGAACCAGCAACAGAAGCAACAGCAGCAACAGCAACAGCAGCAACAGCAGCAGCAGGGTAACCAGAACCAGTTCCAACAGCTGTTCAACAACCAGAACCAGAACAACCAGAACTACGACAACGAGAACCAGGCTAACCAGTACCAGAACCAGCAACAGCAGAACCAAGAGGGTCGCGTCGCTTACTTCAGCGAGGACATCAACCTGAACCAGCAGTTCGCCAACCAGCAGATCTACAACCCCACATGGTTCAACCAGCAGAAGTACAACCAGAAGAACCAGAACGCCAACCAAGGCGAGAACTTCTACTACTACCTGCAACAGGTTCTTGCTCGTTACAACCTGGAGAGGTACGCCAACGACCTGCCTAACGTACAGCCCTTCCAGTTCAACAAGAACGTTCAACCCGGCTACAACCCCCAGCTGCAGTACCACAACGGACAGGCCGTGCCCGCCCGCCAGAACAACGCTAACATCAACAATGCCAACAACAACTACCTTCAGCAGCTGCAGAACATCGACAGGCGCATCGCTGACGCCGTCGACAGCCAGCAGGTCAAGAACGTATGTACTCTATACTGCTTTTATTTTGTATTCTAATAATATTGAACTGTGGGTTAACTTAACAATGGCTAAAAAATGTCCATCTAAATTTTATATAAGAATCATGTTTAAAAATTGCTTAAGTAATTTAATCAAAGCCTCAATGTAAGTGCTTGTCCTATAGGCCAACACCAACAAAAAATAAATGTAAAGAACGGTCAAAGAATTATGTATCCAATTGTTTGAGGGCTCATTTCTTTGCATATTTCTGTGAACGTAAGAAAAGTATAATATTCTATGGATAAGTATTTTTTGTGTGTTATGTTATATTAAAATACCAAACAATTTTCTGATTATATTTTTTATTTACAGAACCAGGGTGGTAAACAGGCTCTGAATGCTGAGAATGGAGTTGCTATCTTGGGTAACATTGTGCAGGCCAACGAGAACTCTGTCAACAACCAGTACTACGCTGCTAACAATGGCCTTTACGGATACTTTGACGTCTTCAGGAAGGTGGTCGGAAGCATTGTTGACCCCAACAACAAGTACCAGGTAAAATAATTTTCATTACAACTATTTGTTATTTTGCGTATGCTAATGTGGGCTGAAAAAATATTCCATAGCCATGGCATTGAGTAAAAATAGCTTTTTTGTGCTTTTTATTTATCTACTATAAGAACCAAAATTTAATTCTAGAACGCTCCCGGTGCTGTTGAGACCAACTCTGCCGCCCTGAGGGATCCCGTCTTCTACCAGGTCATCGCTCGCATCGTCAACTACTTCCAGAACTTCAAGAACCAACTGCAATCCTACAAGCAGGAGCAGATCAACTTCAACGGTGTTGAGGTCAAGGCTGTGAACGTTGACCAGCTGGTTACCTATTTCGACAACAACGAGGTTGACCTGTACAACGCTATCAACTACCAACAGGGAGAGCAGGCCGAGAGCTACCAATTCAAGGCTCAGCAGCAACAACTTAACAACAAGCCCTTCAACTACCAGATCCAGGTCAACAGCCAGCAGGACACTGACGCCGTCGTGCGAGTCTTCATCGGACCCCAGTACGACGCACAGGGCAACCAGTACACTCTGGAGCAGGCTAGACAGAACTTCGTTGAGATCGACCGCTTCGTCGCCCAGCGTAAGTTTCATAACTCACTTAGAGAAAAGCATTTAATAAACTAATTTAAATTAAGATTAAACCATTGACTATTGGATACAGAAGTTGTATTAATAGTCAAAGATTAAACCCTACGCATTAATAGAATCAACTTTATTGTAATACTGAATTATCTTTTTCTTGGTTTTTTCTCATTATCGTAAAATGTTTATCGTTTCCTTAATAGAGAATTACAGTTTCGGAAGTTAAAACTAAAGCGACAATCATCGGCGTCAATCTTGGCGAACTTGTACAGACAAAGACAAATTGACTTCCTTTTTTACGTTGTTTAACAAAACTGTAACAACTCTTAATACTGTGAGAAACTAAACCTCGGTTGTTTTGTTTTTAGTGAAGAACGGCCAGAACCAGATCCAGCGTAACTCTCAGCAGTCCACCAGGTTCGTCCAGCAACAGCCCAGCACTCGCGCTCTGTTCAACCAGGGTCAGAACTACTACAACCAGACCCAGCAGCAGCAGCAACAATACACTCTGCCCCAGAACCTGATTCTCCCCAAGGGCTCCCAGAATGGCCAGCAGTACGTCTTCGTCGTTGCTGTCAACCAGTACCAGCCCAACAACAACCAAGACAACAACCAGTACCAGAACCAGCCCAACGACAACCGTCCCCAGGGCTTCCCCTTCGACCGTCAGGTCCAGCCTCAGAACTTCCAGCAGGCTAAGAACATCTTCTTCCAGACTGTCACTGTCTACAACAAGAACCAGAACCAGAACAACGACAACAACCAGTACTGAACACTTGGAGCAGTAACAATGCAATCCATCTGTGATTAAACGTGATTAACAACAATAAAATGAACGTTTGACTCTAATTTATTCTTTTCAATGGTATTTTGTAAAACCCCGTCACCAAATTATTTTTACAGCAAATAAGTAACTGTTGAACCTAACACGTGCTCTACCAGCTATCAGCCACACCGCTCTTTATCTGAGGCTTAGTGTACTCTGTAGTAGAGATTTGGCATAATGAGGAATAAAGCTGAAATTTTTAGGAAATATTAAAAGAAAATGTTTATTTAAATTTAAATATGTTTCGTATTGTATTTAATTTAAATTTCAATATATATTATTTAATTTATTGTAAATAATATTTTATATGTATTGCCACATTAATGTCATTCTGATTTGGCTTTATTACCTTATTTTTAACCACATAGAAAGACTTTCCAGGAAATTTGCCCTTTTGATTTAAAACTCCATATCAGATATGTATTTCAATCTCTGATTTGCTGCCGTCACACAATAATTAAGACCACTCTTAAGGTCAACTATACGTTATTGACACCTCAATGGCCACCGAAATTTAACAAAGTTCCAAAGAAAATAGTTGCTTATTACTTGATAAGTAGTATCTACATGTATGTTAGTTATGTAAATGAGATTAAGACTAGCTTTAATTTTATCGGAGACATATAATGGCCTATATTTATGTTTACAAAAGAGCTTCATGATAAATAATTGCAAAAGAAGGAAGCAATGAATTTTGAATTGTAACTTAGGTTCGTAGACAGCATAAATTCCGATTTCGTAGATATAGTAAACCAACCGTAGATGAAATTGCCGGTGTCTTCAATTCAACCGAAGGAAAACCTACAGCAAATTACACCCATAGTTTTGTACACACAGTAATTTATATACAGAGCTATATTCAGAGAATTGGGTTAAAACTACTTTCCACATTGTAATTCAAATCAATATCCACTTTTAGGGAAATTCTGACTCATAGATAATTTATTATTCGTTAATTTTATTTAGGTATAACCGTAATTGGCTTCCTTATAGTGTTTTAGAGACTTGGAAACAAGCCAAAAGCTCATTTTGAAACTGGTTCTCCTCAATTGAATTTTACTTCAGTTAGCATTGTTGGTTTATGAGTCAGCTGATTAATAATTTGCAATTGTTTACTTTCAAAGTGTAATCGGCCAAAAATAGTTTTGTTATGAAATACTTACAATAGTAAAATAAATAAAATACTTACTCGGCTTGGTTTTACCGTAGTACTCACGGTAAGACCTGGACCCGGGACCGATTTTTTTTTTCGTTTTGAGGTCCCTAGAGGTCAAAAACACCATCCGTTCAAATTCACATATATATATATATATATATATTAAATAAAATTAAAACATATATAACAAAGTACCCTTTTAGTAATTATTTTATTTTTCATGACGACATGTTTCGGAACTAAGTCCATTGTCAAGTCATTTTTACCATAACCTCATTCTTTAAACTAACAAAATTAAAAATATAATCATATGTAAAAATAATAAAATATGTTAACTAAATCTTAATACATTTTGGTATTAATTTTTTTCATTATACTATATGAATGTTTTTCTTTCTTTCCTTAGTTTTTCAATTTTATCGTAGATAGGTTGGTTTAATTTTGGAATCATTGTGTTGAGTATGTTGTTGGGGTCCTTTTTGTTGTGTATATAAATATTTAGCTCTTCTTTCACATTAAGTTTCTCACGTTCTTTTTCAAATTCTAAAATAGTTAGATTGTCTTTCATGTTTTTATAACTGTGGTCTGTGTTCATTATATGGTCGGCGAAGTTCGACTTCATTGATGTCTGATTTTTTGATTTCAATGCTTGTAGATGTTCCTTGAATCTTGTTTTAAAAGTTCGAGATGTTTGACCTATATAATACTTGCTACAGTCACTACAGTTTATCTTATAGATTCCTGATTTGTTGTACTTTTCGTCTTCATTATCTTCTGTGTGTTTGATTTTTTTATTGATTAATTGGAAAATATTGTTCTTAGTTCTGTAACTTACCCTTATATCCGAATTTTTAAACGTATTTCTTACTGCTTTAGTCATATATTTGTTATAAGGTATACATATATATTTCTTTTTCTCTTCATTTTCCGTTGTTTTATTTTGCTTTTGTAATTTGTTTTTCAATTTATTCTTTATCATATTGTCTATCATTTTTGCCCTGTAGCCATTTTTCTCTGCTAAGTATTTAATGGTATTTTTCTCTTTTTTGAAATTTTCTTTATTCAAGGGAATATTAATAAGTCTGTGGATAAGTGAATGGAAAGTAGCGATTTTATGACTCCAAGGATGATTAGAATAGTATGGAATAATGATGTCTGTGGTCGTAGGTTTTCTAAATATGTTAAATGTATGTCTGTTGTTATTTTTTGAGATTGTAATATCTAGAAAATTTATTTGTTCTTTTTGAACCTCTCCTGTAAATTGTATTTTTGGAGATAGGTTATTAATATATTTTAGTAGATTATTAGCTTCATTTTCATTTCCTTTGAATAAACAAATTATATCGTCTACATATCTGTACCAGTATTGGATTTTATCTTTAAATGGGTTACAATCATTCATTATTTTGGTAGTTTCCATTTCTTTCATGAATATATCTGCCATTATTCCAGATAGAGGGGAACCCATTGGTACACCATCTTCTTGCAAATAGAAAGAGGAATTGTAGCTGAAATAGTTTTGTTTCAGTGTCAATTGTGTAAGCTGAATAATATCTTCAATTTCTTTTTTGTTTAATATATTTTTCCCAATTAGTTCTTTTCTTAGAATATTTAATGTTTCCTTTGTTGGGATATTTGTGTACATGTTACAAACATCAAATGAGATCAGTAAAGAGTTCTCTGGAATGTCTATATCTTTTATTCTTTCAATGAAATCATAAGTATTTTTAACATTATACCCATTATCCATATTGATACTATTTTTTATTTTGTTGTCCAAAAATTTTGATAGTTTATAGGAAGGAGCATTTTGAAAATTTACTACAGGTCGGATAGGTATATTAGTTTTGTGCGTTTTTGGTTGTCCTCTTAGTATTGGGGCTTTTGAGTTATTTGATTTTAGCATGTTTTGTTCTAGTTTCGTTAGACTTTTACATTTCATTATTTTACTATTAATTGTTTTTGAATATTCAATGGTTGGATCTTTGGTTAGGACTTTAAATTTGTTATCTTTCAAAAAAGTGTCTACTTTTGTTTCATAATCATTTCTGTTGATTATTACAACAGCATTACTTTTATCCGCTTTTGTTATCATTGAATTATCATCTTTTAATTTATTAGAAATAGATTTGATAAGATGTAATTCTTTATTGGTTTCTTTTAGTGTATTTGGGTTAGATATATTCTTTTTAGTTTTGTTTAGTTCGTGTGTAAAACTAAATCTGATTGGATCTCTGATTTGCGTATCTGTTTTTCTTATGGCTACCTCCATATCAATTAGATCATTTTCTATGCTTCTGTTCTTATGATCTAAAGAAAGATTACATTTTAAAGACTTACCTAATAAATTAGTTTCTTCTTGTGTAAATTGAATGTTAGTAAGGTTTTGAACTGCATTGTTGAATTGGTTATCATGAATAAGGTTGATTTTTTTAAATTTACCTTTTTGAAGTTCAATAAGTTTATTGATCTTTTTCTTCTGTATTTCTTTTTTACTATCTATTAATGGTTTGATCCATTCTGTTATGTAGTGATTCATTTCATCAATGCTTTCTTCATGGAACAAATTCTTAGCTTCTTCGTAAGATGATTTAATTGATTCATTAACTTGATGAAGTTTTGAATATAAGTAATTGATCTCTTCCTTAACCCATATTTTTCTTGCTGTTTCCAATGTTTTTCTTGCAGCTTGAGTGTTTGATTTGGTTTTCAACTGAACGTAATTTGGAATTATATTTTCGGAAATACAAATTTTGTTAAATGTGATGTCTTCTTTCAATTTTTCAGATTTGAGTTTGAGGTATTTAATGGTATGAATTATCTTTTGGTTGTTAGCCATTTCATTATTATTTTCTTGCATTTTTAGGGCTACTAATATAATAAAATTAAAACATATATAACAAAGTACCCTTTTAGTAATTATTTTATTTTTCATGACGACATGTTTCGGAACTAAGTCCATTGTCAAGTCATTTTTACCATAACCTCATTCTTTAAACTAACAAAATTAAAAATATAATCATATGTAAAAATAATAAAATATGTTAACTAAATCTTAATACATTTTGGTATTAATTTTTTTCATTATACTATATGAATGTTTTTCTTTCTTTCCTTAGTTTTTCAATTTTATCGTAGATAGGTTGGTTTAATTTTGGAATCATTGTGTTGAGTATGTTGTTGGGGTCCTTTTTGTTGTGTATATAAATATTTAGCTCTTCTTTCACATTAAGTTTCTCACGTTCTTTTTCAAATTCTAAAATAGTTAGATTGTCTTTCATGTTTTTATAACTGTGGTCTGTGTTCATTATATGGTCGGCGAAGTTCGACTTCATTGATGTCTGATTTTTTGATTTCAATGCTTGTAGATGTTCCTTGAATCTTGTTTTAAAAGTTCGAGATGTTTGACCTATATAATACTTGCTACAGTCACTACAGTTTATCTTATAGATTCCTGATTTGTTGTACTTTTCGTCTTCATTATCTTCTGTGTGTTTGATTTTTTTATTGATTAATTGGAAAATATTGTTCTTAGTTCTGTAACTTACCCTTATATCCGAATTTTTAAACGTATTTCTTACTGCTTTAGTCATATATTTGTTATAAGGTATACATATATATTTCTTTTTCTCTTCATTTTCCGTTGTTTTATTTTGCTTTTGTAATTTGTTTTTCAATTTATTCTTTATCATATTGTCTATCATTTTTGCCCTGTAGCCATTTTTCTCTGCTAAGTATTTAATGGTATTTTTCTCTTTTTTGAAATTTTCTTTATTCAAGGGAATATTAATAAGTCTGTGGATAAGTGAATGGAAAGTAGCGATTTTATGACTCCAAGGATGATTAGAATAGTATGGAATAATGATG